GTCAAGGATTAGCTTTGTGAATAGATAGTTACCGTCGGCAATATTTCATTCGTGTCTCGATGCCGCATGTTAGATATGACCTTTAACTATTCGTTCAATATCATCGGAACAAGATCACATAAACGAAGCGATATTATCGAGCTCTGCTATTGCCTGTAGTTGTCGGACTCTCTGAAGATGTGTAACCTGTGACCCGTTAAATAATATTTACGTGAGAGCCATTTGCTCTTGATGCGTCTTATAATTCACATGTTCAATGGTTGTTCTCCTTTTTATGATGATAATTAAGATAAAAAATATTTTGCATTAACAGATTTTATTTTCTCTGTTTGTGTTGTTACAAGCGCGACATTAAATTAACACACTTCTAACGCTACTTGCCAATAATCATAAAAAAATACAAACTTAAAAAACCAAAATTTTCAAACAAATTAATTAAATAAAAAAGAAACAAAATTTTTAACATCCTATACAGCTACAACTGACCGATTCATACATTCAGAGACTTTTTCATTTATTGCCACAGCGTCGCATTACAAGTCTCTCCTTCTTACAGTATGTTTTATCTCTTTTAAATTCATTCAACCCATTCATATGCTTTGTGACATTTACAAATGAACTTTACGTTGCAGTTTTATACGTTTTGTAAAATTAAATAGCTCGGTAAATATTGATGTTTAAAGAATGTAAATGTTTACTACAATTTTAAAAAGTTATCCTGAATATGTGTGTTCATTTATTGTCGCAGTTGTAACGACACGCTGTATTTATCATAAAGAAAAAAAAACTGCATCAGTTATAAAATACAGTACTCTTTTACTTTGAACATATATAAATTATAAAGTATATGGCCAGTAGAAAATTGAAGTGCAAAATACCGTGTCTCAAGTTCATTACATACAACGATTAGTGGTGAGTGCGACGAAAGTTTTTCGAAAAGCCTATTTTAGACAACCACAGTCGATATAAATGACCAAGGTAAATGTAAATAACTTTAACTCTGCCGTAATTCAATTAAAATAAATTTTAAACGATAGAGAAAAATCACTAATGAATTTATCAACAAGCAGATTGGGCGGTCGCTTATAGCTTTTTAAAAAATAAATAATGAAATAGTGTTATTTTTACTATAGAAATCCGACATTTTTTTGTTGTCAATATGTCAATTCTGCTCGTATTTCTTGGTGGTCATAAAAAACATAACCTAACATCGAAGGTTAAAAAGTTTTTTACGTATACATCTTGTCGTCGTTACGTCGTCTCATTATCTTACATGAATTGTACAAAATTTTATCTTCCATTCTCTTGACATTGAGAACAGCACAGGTGGCGGAACTCATCGCGTCCATAATTTTGAAAATTCCCAAGCCCATAGATAGTTTCACGCGCCATCGTGTCAATTGCGGTCAGCCGTGATCGGAATCTTAAAGCGGACGAAGAGATTAGATTTTCCGCGATACATAGTACGCGGCGCGTGCCTTTGGTCGCGTGCCGTTGTCGCCTTAGTGCCGATTCAATCTCCCGCACGAACGCTTACGTGAGGTGTGCCCCTTCACACGTGATCGTTTCGCGCTGCCTCTAACTCGCAGATCGCATCTAGTTGATGTGTGTCGCGTCCAGACCGGTCGAGACCGACAGGCCTCATTGTTACGGTGCTAACAACCATTAAGATTGTTCAGTTAAACTCACGCTTGCGCCGTTTTGAATACGCAGAATTGACACAAAACGCTTGGTGGCATAATTCACCTGTTTCAATAAAGAAATGTGCCATCAATAATGTGATAAAAATTGTTAAACATAGCTTATCTAAAAATCTAACTTAAAATAAATACTTAAAAGTGGCATTTTTATTTTATTTTTATTATCATGTAGCAAGTATCATGTGTCACGATTATTCGTATTATTTTCTGTTAAATGTGGTCATTGTAGCACTATGTAATATTTAAAACTAAGTTCTAGCATAACATTATCTCGAGCATAACATAACATAACTCGAGTCGAAGGCACTTTCTCTACAAGCCCTTACGGCGGGCGTCCGTCAAGGTCTGCCTTTTTTCCTTGCTCTTTTTGTTTTACACGAGGGACGCCCCTAAAGACCTACAAATCGGCCTCCGCTTTTTGCGAATGATACCGGTCTTCTATTTGGACAAACACCTTGGCTGAAAGACTATTCATCTTCAAACTGTATCCATTTACCTCGGTAATTGCAAAGGGAAAATAAAAAATAATCCCGAAAAGTCCGTAGGTATACACTTCACCCGGGGTAATGCCACATCCAAATCTGACCTCACACTAGCCCGAGCTCGCCAAAACAAGAAGCTAGAATAAAACATCTTTGCCAAGCGATCCTTTGGGAAAAGAGTCAATTACCATGGGGTCACTTCGACTCCAGAATGTCATTTAACACTCACATTGAAATCGTTAGGAACAGAGCCGCGTTCATATCTGGACGACTTCAAAATCTAATGAACTCGGCAAGCAAAATGCCCTTAGGGCACAAACCTTTGGGCTTCAGCCCTGTAGTCCCGGGCTCATAGAATAGGGCTAAGATATCCCCTGCCTGTCGTAAAAGGCGACTAAAAGGGAACACGGATGTGCAGCAGCACGAAGTGGTCTCGTGTTGCTGCAAGAGGGTGAGGGGATCGGAGAAGGTTTATCCTTCTCCGTGGCGTGCTCAGGCGTAGTACCGAGGGACACCGGTGCGTTCCATGGGAGATCCCGGAGTCCCTCCAAATGTACAGAAGGCGGCCACCGAGGGGGTTTTAGTGGGTAAGAACCCCACATAACCCTGTCATGTAAAGTATCTTTTGAAGATTTCCCCCCCGATACCAAAAAAAAAAGTAGTGAACTCAGAAAATTACGAAACGAACCCTAACACAACTGTTCGAAAACGTAGTTCGCGTAATCTGCTCATCGACCTGATTAAGGAAGTGACCCAAAGTATTACATATTCGTCGGAGGTACCGCCCGACAACACTATTAGGAGCGAGTTATACTAGGTAAAATCGAGTACTTGTTATGTCTCTTATTGAACAGTAACAGTGATAAACACCTGTTACAAAATAACAGCCTGTTATTTCATACTTTGCTGTGACAATTTGTATAACTATTACCATAGAATAACGTACTGTAACATCTGTTTTCGTTAGTTGTTTATTGTGTATGTCTGATCCAAGTAACGTAAAATAATTTATGCTAAATGTCTTTTTGATAAAGCTATATGACAGATGCACGAAAAAATAAGAGCTTGAGACAGTGACAAAATGTTCACTAACAACTGTGATAGGGTGTAACAGTTTTAATCTTCTTCTAACTAAGGAAACAGTCTTTAGCATGAATACAGAAAAGCTTGTGACAGTTAAGGAACACTGTGTGAAACAGGAATTGTTATTTAAATTCGATTGTAGCAGGTACAGTCTGTTATCAAAAATTTTGCTTGCATACTAAGTTTTTAAGTCTTTTCTGCTCACCCCAAACGTCGTGGTTTAAAATCCTAACTAGGAATTGTTTCCAGATGAGTACGTGCACGTTAGTGTTACTGTTGAAACTGTAGTAGTTTTTCACGTTCAATAAGAGTTTAAAATAAGCCTACATTGAATAAAGAAATTTTGACTTTGACTTTGTAATCTCAAAAGGCACTTTATCCTTCAAAAGGAACCGCCACATTAAGCACAATTCAATTTCAAGTGACAGAACTTTATGAGTCTTCGACTCCTAATACTCTTCTTTTAACGACAATGTACTACTTTCCAGTTGATATCTTAAAATTCATACTCCACATTCATAGGGTTTATTCTTCTTCTTATGCCCTAATACCTTCTGTACAGAGAAGGCCTTTGCCCAGCAGTGGAACTTTTATAGGCTGTTACTTTAGTCTTGTATAATTACTTTGCATTAAATATATTAATTAAAAGTTCACATTAAATTGGACAGTACACATTGATATAGCATAAAATTAGTTTTCAATTTAAAATCTACAACAACCTGTTCCATTTCGTTGTTAATTTATTCAAATTTGATTCCATCTTTATATAAAATAATATTGTAACAAGAACATAATAATACTATACATAATAACATAATAATAATAATAACATCGTAATCAAGAGAAGGAAGTTTTAGGATTAGGAAAAAAACACAAAAATTGTTTAAAAAAATTTATTTTAGATAATGACAATTTAGATTGTTGAAATATAACTAAAGAATATTAGAATTTTATTTTTACAAATTGTCAATAAGGCACGAGGGTTGTATTAAATACTTTTGTAATAATTATTATGTAAGTATTTGTTTCTAAGTCATAAACAGTATTATTGTAGTCTTAGATTCCCTTTACTTTTAATTTTACTATATAAATATATTTCGAGCTCAAGTATAAATTAAGTAAATTAATAAAGAAACTATGCTAGGTTGAATAAATTACGATGTTGGGACGGCCGTCAATCCATCGCTTCTTGACTTAGGTCGCACGTTCGGTTATCTACTTAAAAGGTACTGAAATTTCACTTCAACTTATCCCTACTATTAAAATCATGCTTATGCTTAAATATGGTACAATACGGCAACGGAGGTCCGAAAGTCGGACGTCCGAGCGTAAAGTAAGCGAATGAGCGACGTGATCTTGATAACGAATCACGGCTGCGTCCCATCGACGACCCCGGAGATGGGGACAAGCGAGCGATTCCAGTCAAAATTTTCAATCAAGGAACATACTGCGTGTTATCTCTCACATTCTTCCCCAGCCATTCACGCTCTTATGGTCGTCCCCTTCTTCGTGTCTGGCTGTGCCGCACCCTTTGCCCGTACGTAGCACCTGGTGCGGGAGCGCTTGGACACTACCAATATAACCGCTATCTTTGTCTTATGCTACACAAAAGATTGCTACGTTTGTTTACAAACGATGCCACCTTTCAAAGCTAGGACTCGACGGGGGTTTTTATACTAACACATTATAACTATTATTGCGGACGCTGATCACGTCGACATGTGTAAGCTATTTAAAAATGCCTCTGGTGTGCACGAGAAAAGCTTGGATCATAGACTTTGCAAAGGGCTGATGGGGCGTTAGGACCAGGGAGGAGTTCAGCGGCTTTAGCTGCTGCACGGCGTCGTTGCCAGCTGCAAGTCCAGGCCGCGAGTACAACCAACTGTGCGGCCAAGAATGCAGCCGCAGCAAGCATAGCTCCAGCTGCGTTGACACATGTTGTCTCACTCTCTCTTACATATACGGAGTCCTCAGTAGTATTCTTCGCGCGTTGTTTGTCAAAACCGAATTTGTCTGTGACTTGAATGTTTTGAACAAGAAGCATTTTCTCAGTCGGAGAGGCAGGAGTTGAACGTCTCTTCCTGCGGCCGTATGACATTATCGAACGCAGCTCATTTGGACCGCCATCGCACTGAACTGGCTCGCACGTCGGCATACAAGGAGTTACCAATGCACGGAATTGTACCACCTCCGATGAGGGGAACTTGAAGGCGTCAAAGTGAGACAAAAGCATCTGGAATAAAATAGATCAATTAATATCCCATTTGGAGGAGTGCGTATTTTAAGGGAAAAAAATATTAATTGGTATATTGCATAAAATTTACCTTTCCACTTGGCGCTGATTTGAAAAGTGGGCCCATGATAAAGTGGTCCGTAGGACAACCATCACTGTCAATAAGAGTAATTTCGCTGGAGTCGACGCCATCCATTGCAACGAGTTCTCGGACGAATATTTCGAATGGAGAATTCTGGTCCATAATTTCGAAACGAAGTGCCTAAAAAACAAATGTATTTAGCTCGACTGTCATGAATAAGTGACAAATGATAATGAATAGAAATAATTTTAATTACCAGGGGGTCTCCAACTTCGGCGGATGAAATAGTATCGTCACCGTTCCTGTCAGTAATTCTCATTGCCACATTAGGTGAATCAACAATAACCTCCTCGGAGAGCCCAGTGTGAATGTCGCCGTGTATTCCAAGATCAACCTCATTGGCAACTGTTTTATTGGTCAAGTCATACTGACATGTTACAGCAAGACCAAGATCCGATGACGTGACTATGGTGTCGTGATGTTGAATAACGACATCGTTTAAGTATCTGCAAAATATTTAATTCAAATAATTTTTCACGATTGTATTTACATTTTTAACAGTTATGGTACATTAAAGTATGCTTACCTCCCAAGGCCGTTTTGCTTAACATTACACTCAATGTTGTCATATCCCATATGCAATTCAAACTCGAGGCTTTGTTTAACATCGACGACGCAAGAGTTAGGACTGCCCTTGGCGTAAATCTTTCCATCGAATAATTTCGAGGTCTGAATGCGAGCTACCATGTCTCCGGCACGGCAGTCGATGGACACATTGTAGCAAGAGGAAAGTTCGTACGTAGCAGCCTCAGGGACTTCCAAATAGGGATCCTAAAATAGTAAAACAAACAGTTAATAAATTAAAACGAAAAAGATAAAAATTATTAAGTAAGACTTGACATTGTAGCAACAAGGTATTAAATTACCTGAATATCAGCAAGGGTCGCACGTGAGTGATGAGAGAGACGACAAACATGGTCACCCGTATCGCCGTGATCATATGAGTGGCAGCGGAAAGGTGAATTTAGACATAACTCCCTGCACTCCTCGATGGTTTGAACGTCTTGATAAACAGAGTCAACAGTTTTTAGAATACGACCGCCCATTTTCTTGAACTCGCATAATTTCGTTGGTTCCTCCACGCAGTTGTTTTCCAAGTAGTCAGTATCTAAGAGTTTTATTATCAAAATTAAAGTTATGAAAAAACAAAACATACAACTAATCGAGGAGTCTCAATAAAATATTAGGAGTGATCAATAAAACTTAACCGGATAAGATTACCTTCATTAGGTTGGAATGAGTTTGTGCCACCCAAAGTAATACGATCCATGTTCGACAAAACGCATTCTCCAGTTTTGTTATTGTAATTCGCCGACCTGTAAAACATATTTTTTTTAATTCACCGTAGCAAATAAGTTGTAATGTAACATTTTCAAGATAAAACAATTCTGGTTAAACTAAAAAACTTCTTTTTGATCATTATTATTAATTGCTAAAATGCACTCCGTTAATAAAACACCTAAATCGTAAATTAGAAAATGTCTATATATTATAAAATAAGCTATATTCTCCACTTAAAATCTACCTTTTTTGTAAAATAAAAAACTGATAATTTGCTGTCCTCTAAATCGAAGTTGTAATCCTCTACATTCCATACTTCATTTAGTCTTCGTCTTATTTCTTTGCGCGTAAATTCTGGAGAAAGCATCAGTTTGTCTGATGCTTTTAGTGCAAGCATTTAGTGTCCACTTTGACAGAACAACCTTTCGAATAGCTAATATTTAACGTCCCTATAAACTTTAGGAAATCGTGGATATTAATCTTTCGCTTATTTATAGTTTACGATTGATTTGAATGTTCCTTAACCAATGCCTGTATATCTTTTGTGAGTTCTTGTAATTTATTGACGTTCCTCCAAGGTATCCTAATGGGCCGCAGCCGACGTTTTATGTGTTTACAAACTACATCCTTAAAGCCACTATATTTTATTTTTACTAAGAAACAACTTTGAATGTTAAATAAAACGCGTAAATACAAGAAATGACTATAAACGTATTAAAACTTATTTATGCTATTCGATTTTAAGCGTTTATTTTTCCTGTGGAAGCAAAGGCTAAGCGCCTTTGCCTTTTTATTACTTATTACATTCAACTGACCACAAGAACACAGACAATCTTATCTTCGCTCACCTAGCTCGATATTTTCTATTGATTTACAAGCAATCCTGATCAGATGACCTAGCCGCTGACCCATAGGATATTATCACAAAGGGTAGATCTGAAATTGCCTGTATTCTTAATTTAATGACCTAAGATTTTATATTATTACTGCAAGGGAAGTGATCTTCCAGTTTTTCATACGTCGGGGAGAGATAATGCATTTACTTATAGTTGTCTTCTTTTTTTGTTTTACAAAACTGCTCAAAGCTTTTATCAAGCATCGTTATTTCAAGAGGCCTTCAAGTATAGTGGACATACTGTTTGTGATATAATCATAATTAAGAAAATTATTTAACAATCATAATGTTTGTTAGACTTATTGACATCGTATATGCTAATAGTATTTTTGTATTAATTTTCATTTTATTGTCATTTCCTCGATTTATATATGCTCTGTAATATTATCGAAATGCCCTTTTATTGTGCCGCAGTATGTTGTAAGCATATTATTTTTTGACCCAACGGTCGATTTCACGGACTTATACGATGATTCGTGTTTCCGACACCGGGCGTAAGTATTTATTAACTACTGACGCCAAGAGCGATACAGTTAAGTAAACAAAAAGTAGTAAAGTAATAAAAAATGAAGCCTTTCGTACGGGAACGGGTTCGGTTCAAAATGATGGCGGGTTGCTTAGCTGTGAAGTTGTGATTTACTAGTTATTGTATTGTGAAAGTAGGAAGTGATAGGGCAAAGCGCTCCCACACCGTGCTGCATATCGTTCGCCACGTCGGGGAATATTTGCCAAATGTCGTGACTGTCGACGATCGCGATGAGCCGCCCGGGGTGAGCTTGGGCCTTCGCCAGCCTCAATGGAGATACGACGATTTCCGCCGAACGGTATACGTGGCTTTAGTAAAGCCTTCCACTACGCGTATTCCCCCATTTACCCAACAAATAGACCCACCGTAATCGATTAGCTTGGTGGATAGTGGACCGATCTGCTGCGCCAGAAGGTGTAGGTTCGATCCTCCCTACTAGAAGAATATTATGTGATGAACTTAGTGTTTTTCTAGTGTCCGGGTCTTTACATATTTATATTATGTATTTAATTACATAAGAAAAGAATATTTATCAGTTACTAAGTTTCCATTTTACAACCTTTCTTAGTTTGGGATTAGATAGATTGTTGATAGAACATTGTGTAAAACGTATATCAAAAAAAATTGAACACTACAAACTGGTAGATGCCTAATTTATAATTCGTACGGTTTATATAAATGTTATATCAACTGCGAGTCACGAAAGTTATAAATCATTGCGCGTCTGTGAACCCATTGCTCGTATGTCTGTGTCAAAGGAATATTTATGTTAATAATTTAAGAACCATACATGGATATTACACAGACAATAGGACACCTGTCCCCTTTAGTAAATACTCAACTTGGAGTGTACTCCCTACTTTGTATATAATGCTCTTTTATGAATTTGAGATATCAAACAACCGGTTTACTTGGAAGTAATACAGGAGACTTGCCTTTACAAACTATTAAACTTAAATAAAAAAGGAGTATATTAGAAACGTTCAGAATTCTATTTATTAGATTCTTATTATTCATGTTTTAATTTACCAAACAGAATATAAAATAAAACAATTAGAAAGCGACAAATAATTTATAATAATTGTCGCCCTCGATTGTTTGATTAATGTAGAGTATTTAAATTGCTCAGCTATTTATATTGAAAGGTAATATAACAAAGGTATCTCCGAAGCTTAATTAGCCATTAGGATGCCAGGTATTGTTTTGGTTATAAATGCAATTGCTACTATATTTATTTAACTATTTGTGCTATTAGCGGCGCGCTAAAAGGGTGTTTCAACACTTATGTGTAATAGTTATAAGTCACTGCTAATGTTTTTTTAATTCCTCTTAACTACTATATAAGCTTCGATCTAAATGAGGATTTCGTGTTAATAAACTCTATAAATTCAATCGTAATTTAGTGTCATTTATTCTTAACTAGCGACCCGCCCCGGCTTTGCTCGGGTGCAATGCTTTGGTGAATGTTTCTTTTCGACATCGCATTAGAAACCTCTAAAATTATCAGTGTACTATATTATGCATAAATTATACATAGAAACCTTTCTCTGGAATCACTCTGGTATCAACGGTGGTAGGGGCACGCAGTAGCCTCGGCTGATGCACAAATGGGCAGGCCCGTCCGAGTAAGTACCACAACCTCACAGAAGACCAGTGTAAAGTGGAAGTATGACAAATACTTTCGCGTTTCGTCTGGTGAGTGAGGTAGCCCGAGCCCAATTTTCAAAAGGTTGTCAACGCGTCTGTAACTCTCGCGTGTATCAGCAGATGTCCATGGGCGGCGGTATTCACTTAACATAAGGTGAACCGTCTGCTCGTTTGACAACTTTTCACATTAAAAAATAAAAAAAACTTTCTATTAAAGAGAACCGCATCAAAATCCGTTGCGTAGTTTTGAAGATCTAAGCATATATAGGGACAGACAGACAGCGGGATGACTTGGTTTTATACTAAGTAGTTAAGTTACTTTCATAGACTACCTTACAAAACAATTTAAGACCAATCGTACAAAACTTTCTACACACCTGCAAACAAACTCGTTCTCGCCAAGGCATAGGTCCAAGCACATCTGCCTCGAACCAACGGTGTGGGTCCTTTTGCCTCGACCCTTAAGATGGTAGCCACGTACCCGGTCGAAGCACCACGCGCGTTCGCACGGCCTCACGCCGAGGCATGACTTTTGTGCGTAGATGGTGAACACGGGGAACTGTGACTTGGTCAGCGCGCCTAAAGTCAGATGGAGTTGTCGTTATTAATACGTTCATACAAGCTCTCCGTCTTTATTTCTCTTAATGCGTATGAGAGACGGTCTTTACTCATCTCATTCTGTGTTTAAATACTCTGGCGCAGTGTTCTGAATTTAAAACTATGATCTTATAGGGTCGTGATAGCTAGTAGATCTACATCCCTTTATAACAAGTATAATAATTAGTTCATGATAAAAATAACATTATTTTTTTCATGAACTAATAATATAAGCGTTTTTATAACAAAATTTAATAAATAAATTTCAATATCATCGTCAGTAGGGTAGAGTATTTGTCAGTCATTCAGGTTTTCTTATTACTTTAATCTTGTGATCTTACTTATTATTGTGATCGAATTGAGGTCAAGGCATCATCTTGTCTCTAACAGTATCAAAACTAGCCCGTTAAAATTTTTTACTACGTTACCGAACCAGCACAGTCATGCCATGCCCATGTCGTTATTTAAATATTGTTATAAAGTAAAAAGTTCTATTTGTGTACGGGGCGCTATCGATTATGTGAAGTGGTTCCTCGAGTTCTCACTCGATTGTTCAATATACCGAAGGAAAAAAACAATATTAAATTGTGACTCACCTGGCAATTGATCAGCGTCGGAACTGAAAAGCACGCATAAGCCCGTTTCGTAATTAACTGCGCGACAGGTGTCGTTGGCCTGGCATTGTTCTAAGCAGTCTGTCAACATGAGGGTCCCGGGAATATCGTCAAGTATATGCGACGGGGCCGAGAATACATATCTGTTGTAAAAAAACATGAGAATTTTAAAACTGTTTACTATAATTATTCTAAACTTAGCTAAGCTCTGTGATGGTTATAAAATTTGCGTTTAATCAAAGTTGCTTTTGCCCAGTCTTTGGAAGTTAAGAATGTAGTTATTATAGCCATTATAGTAATTACCCAGTAACAAGTTCGAATCCAATCATCTCCGGATCGCATTCCTCAAGAGAATTGGCTGGTGCGGACGGTGCAGAAATGCCACTGGGCGCTGAAGGTGGCACTCCACCTGACGCAGTTTCAGGTGCGGTAGCTGGCTCTTGTGGTGTTTGTGGCTCTTCCGCTTCATCCGGTTTGGGTGGAGGGGAGGAGGATGATGGTGGAGCTCCAGGATTCTTATATTCTTCGGGTGCATCAACTACAGCGGGCTCTGGAGAGCCAGATTCTACAGCTAAGTTGTCTTGAGGAGGCGCGTCGGCTGCCGATCTCAAAGTCCCCTCGAATTTCTTCGCAGCATTTGCTACACTCACCACTATTAACAGACCAATTAAAATCTTCATCGTGCTCTCGTTGTGTTTGTCTTCTTCAAGAACTGTAACAAACAATACAGTTCTTTAATTTATTTAATACGTATTTAAAAAAAAAGAGGTTAACAAAGCAACTTGGAACCAAATGTAACAAAAAAAGAATTCAATGTAATTGACATAATCTGTTTCATCTTTAGCTTAGTGAATTAACTTTTTATTGGTCTAATTATTTGCAGGCCAATCATTGCGTTCATTGCCGCTGAGGACATTATCTTTGTAATTGCTTAGCTTGCAATTATGCCTTATTATTGCAACCTAAGTTTTTTTCCATTTTCAATTATTGTCTACTTTTCGTAGTTTTCTACATTTTTATGTTCGAATTTCCGACTAATTTGCTTATAAAGCTTCAATTATATTTAAATAAAAACGTTTTTTTAGACATTATAGACTATATGTGAAGTGACCAATAAAAATGAAAAAAGCAGTTGAAATTAATTTAAAGAACAGTCACTTCATCAAATTGGACATTGAGAAAAAGCCGTGTAGCGACATCGTATTAGTTCTTTAATGGTTTTTATCGTCTCGCAACAATATGCCGCCGGTAGCTGGTTGCATTACGTTACGCTCACGTTCTGTACACAATGCCTCTAACGGTGACTGTCTCATCGCACCGTCCAATTGGCGGTCAACGGTATTACTTTTAGCGATTTTATTTTAGAAGTATATCTCCGCTTCGCCTCGCGTTGAATAAATTGTATATTGTTATCGACGAACGACATCCATCCGACACCTATTATGGCTTTTGTAATATCACTGTCATTACAATGTCAAATAACTTATTGAATATACAAGCCGCAATGTTGATAGTAAATTATAAACTTGAAATTGACTTCCGGGAGAAACTTGTAATGAAGTATTTCCAAGTAAAGCTTTTTAAAGTATACAATATTTAAAAAGAACTTTTCAAATTGAATATAACTGAAAACAAAATTAAAATTACATGGCGCGTCGGCAATTGAATCAATTCAAACTCGCAAAAAATAACCTAAAATTTTATCTGTCTGATTTTATGAAAATGAAATTGAAAATTTTAATCTTTTTGTGGGATACCTTTTTGTTTAATACATCGTTATCATCAATCTAATCAATATCTTTATAAGCCATGATTTTAGTTAAAACTTGGTTAAAGTATATCATGTCTCACTAATACAAGAAATAATAAAAAAAAATATGTGTGATAAAAAGTATTACGGCAATATTTGAAAGACTTAATTCTACAAAAGTCTCTGAATAATTTATGTTTTCCTGTCACCACTTAGTTAATAAAAATTGTTGTACATGATTTTTTTTAATTTGATGTGACGACTAAATAAGACACTTACCGCCCGGTTTCTGAAAAACTGATCTGGAATTGATCAGAGTGATCTTCTTAACAATCAGAATGATCAATTCAAACAGTTTAACCATCATTTTAGTAACCCAAATAACATTTGAAAAGCCATTTGACAGCTGATTCAGTAGTCGTTTTGATGATCAGTGTTTCAAAAACCGGGCGTTAGTTAAAACACAACGGACAAAACGTTAGACTAATACACTTAAAATTCGATTTTTAGAGTCGTGGGCATTTAAGCAACTTTGGTACAGATAAGTAGGAACAATCCCTGTGCAAACCGACCACAATTCTCACATTGAAATTGGTCACGGATTAAGAACGATTGGCCCTTTATTATTTCGCAATAAAGAAAGAAATATAGTTATTTGAAGATAAAGTATCGCGTTGTTTGCGCGACGCAATTTGTTTTACACCTTAAAAGCCTATTGTATCCAATGATCTAGGTTAGACTATGTTCGTAGTCTTTACAATAACACGATGACCTGCATTGGAAGGTCGTGCGACAGAATCTTGGCGCATTGCCTCTAATAAGTGGGACGTGACTCGGCGCTATGGAAAGATAGCGATAGGAAAAGAGCGATATCACATCGGCACCCATTAATGAACTATACATTAGATATATCACGATTTATTTTGCTGTCTCCTTTCCTTTATTTTCTAATTCCTAGATATTATCTTTTTTATCCATACCTTTAAATATCGGTTTAGATATAATAATATTATTAATAAATAATTCATACCATTTTTAGATACATAATCTAAAAATGGTAAGAAACACTTGTAGTTAATTCTGCTATTTATATCGACAAAGTACACATCTACTTTCCCTATGTACTGCCATAAATTCACATAAACACTCATTCACCATTTCTCTAATGTATTCGTTTACTGATCTCTCTTTGGCGAATGTCCGCGGCACGTTCAATTCGTTCAAGCTTCGATCAGATGGGGTCAGCGCATTCAATGAGCCGGATGCCTTGAACCTGCCATTTACGCTTCTCCATACCAGTACTGGTTGACACAGTATGGGCAACGGCTTGGATTTCTTCCAAGCATTGTATCTAATAGGCCTACATTTTCTCCATCCGTTCGTACTATAAGTGTATTACCAATTTGTTTCCATGAAACTTATATATTTGGTAATATACTAATTTCTCATAAAATTCGCCTCAAAATTAACAACTTTATGAATAAAATTAACGCGGCGTTCGGTACTATGGGAAATTCTGACATATTATCCATTCCTCGTTATTAAACATATTAGGCTCGTCTGAATTGAAGCTCATTTGTATTGATTTGAGTTACGATCTCCGTTTCAATATTAACATTGAATGAAACAGTAATTTGTTGCACCGCTTTCCAATGGTTCGTGGTGACTTCCGTGTGCGTTGACATGACACTGTAGCGGATCGACTGTACGAAGCAGACATTCACGATCAGGTGTCAACGTTGTCCATTGTACGATGACTATATTTGAACCACAAAGATGCTATTGCTTACAATGGGATATGTTAATGATTATATTTCAAACATTGGCCCGTACGTACTCGTTTTACTAAGTTGTGTATTGGTACATGCGTTTTCAAAGATTTTCAGTTTATTCCTTATCAATAACATTGCTGACACTGGTAAGAAAAGTGGAATTTATAACGGCACTTAATAAATGAAGTAGTAAAATATCAGCAATACAAACATAGAGGCCAGAGTTTGCATACGTTTTAATGCATAAATTCATTTTAACTTAGCGCACGGCGACGGGGTCAGTGTGTTAAATTGTAGGCTGGAGATCCGCGCGTGTGAGATTTGCATTAATGAGAGAATGCGATTTCTCTAACCTAACCGACCCGGTCGAAATATGTGTTTGCAAAATTACACGACTGTGTTCCGAACGCCTCGACCGCAATGACTTCTTCTTTTTTATTTGTTTATTACTCTTGCCACAAAATTTTTCTATTTTTATTCATTAAAAATGCTGTCTCTTTTCTTTAACCACTTTATAAACTGGTTACATTAAGTTCAAATGGAGGAAAATTTTTAAAAAAATTCGAAAATCAAAATTCTTTTTGACATCAAGTGATACGTAAGTGATACAAAATACTGTGAAATACTTCCACGCTTCAGAAGAGATCTAAAATGTCTGCTTAAGTGTCACGAACAGTCAGAAGATCAATCGTTGTGATGGGAATAGGGATTTTAGTTATAAGAATAGGGATTTTAGGTATAAAATCCCTATTGCCAACAGAATGAATGAAGATTAATTTCAATATTCTATTTGAGAGTTGTACCTTTTTAATCGTGCACCATCATTTATTTCAAGATAGGTCAATAACTATTTAAATTTATAGTTTTATAGTCAAGCATATTTAAATGTCAACCGTCTGCTTTCTATTTCACCCGCCTGCGTTGAGACCTACTGGGACGGTCCGTTTGCGTTCGAGGACGAGAGCTGAAATTAATTCTATCTTTGGACAATTAATTTCACTGATCGCTGAAAACACGATCTGGCGATATACCTCCAGTAAGAGAATTCCGATAGTGAATCAACAACGCTGTATTAAGGACAAGCTTTAGCTCGTAAACGTCTCGTTATCGAGTAACCAGATCTAATCGTGAAGGTCTTAATGGGCGATGTAGATATACAACATTGTGCTGCCTTTTACTCTCCGTCACCGCAAGCGCCACAACATCGAGTCACGGTTCCCGCAGCGGGGTAAGGAATAAAAACCACTTTGGCTTCTAGTTCTGGGTCAACGTTTTGAGATGGGCGGTTGAAAATAGAATCGTGATTAATTTGTTGTATTATAATATTTCATAATGTAAATTAGCTAATAATTAATATCAAATAACTGTTTCCAACATTCAATACAAACATGTTTATGTTATACCAACTGTTAATTATTTATTGATGCACCGATAACATAATATAATTAAATGATCCTTACAATTTAAAACCGCATCTGAGACACTAAATTGCTATTGTTATGTCATTGTATTCTTATTATTCCAAAGACCCTCTCGCCAGTCGTTTTGAGAAGTTTGAAAATTTAAGATGTAATTAAATAATAGAGCGATCACAAAAGGAAATTTAAAATAAAGTACAAAAATTTGTAAACGAAACTGAAGTAGGCTAGGGGCCAAGATTAACAAATTGAGTGATGTGTAAAGTATGCGTAATACGAACAGATCGCGGCTCGATGTTTTTTCGAAAAAGGGCTACTTAACTTATAACAACCACTAATAGTCGGTGCGGCACAAAACGTGCCACTACACTTTGACAAACGTACAATTTCGCAAAGTTTTCTCCGCAGATTAATCATGAATCGTTGTGGGACGGCAGGCTGAACGCTGTAATTCCGCTTTGTTGGCGGCAACGCCAATCGGAACTAGGTTTCAGGTGCGGCCGACGCATCCGTTTCTTCACCGGCTTTCTTTGAACTCGCTACTTAACGAGTTCCCGCGTCTGGGTTTGCCTCAATCGTCGGACCAATGCCATTATCGCGAAATTAATTCAAGAGCCTATATAACGCCGTGTTTTCACTTTTAGTACCACATCGTTGTAATAAGTGGAAGTTCTGCATTCGCATCTTGCTAGCATTTTTTGCAATACAGAAAATTATTTAAATATCTATTTATAACACATTGTGGTGTCGTTCATAACAGCTATTTAGCCTCCGAATTTGATTATTTAAACATTCGTCATTTGTTTTATGGTGTAGTGACACTATGACCGTCAATGTATAACAATCCGCCATTACAGTATGCTTTCGTATGATGGTAATAGTGCCACTTTTTCTCTATCCAATAATAAAAAAAAATTAGTCTTACAGGTGTTTGTATATTTATTTTACTGGTTATAGTATTGCTATTAGTTATAGTATAGTTATAGTATGCTTATTATTATACTGGTTATAGGAGTGCTGGGTCTATTATAAATTTGTTACGTATTAACACGTTTTTGTGAGTGGAAAGCGTTGAAGCTCTTTCTCATAGGCGTTTCCTACATTGCATATAATTTTCGTTTCGTTTTACGACGGTGAACTCAATACGGTCTCGTAACTTGCATTGTAGTTATCAAAGGGCTAGGCAGTTCGTTTAAACGCGTTTTTATGTCACAAAGGCATAACTGTTTTGACACGTGGTTAAACCAGTCAAAGATTTTGCGATAACATAGTTGTGTTTGAATACTGATGAGCAATTAAGATTCTTGTCCTGAGATCCAGCGTGTACTCTTGTACATTAAGACAGATTCTATATCTGATTTAAAATTAAATCTCAAAAGGTTTTAGAAAAATTTGATCGTTTCGTAGAAGTATTATGCCACATAAGAAAACTAAATTCAATATTTTATCAACCATAATCTTGGTAAGAATTATTTAAGATCTTATTTTTACGTGTAAATTATTAGTAATTACGGATAATAAATATATGACGACCCAATTGGCGTAGTGGTCAATAAAATTGACTCTTGCGCCAGATGGTGCGGGTTCGATCTAATATATTTTTATATACACAAATAAAAATATGTTTAATTATGTTTATCGGTTACCTAACACCCATAGTAAAAGCTTTTGCTCAGTTTAGTACTAGATACCGTTGTGTAAAAATATGTCTAGAAATATTTATTATATATCTATAAAACATTCAATAGCATATCCTGTTTTTCATTTAATAAATGAGATTATTTTGACATCCAATCAACCTCGTGGAACTGTTTCATTCCCTTATTAGTCATAAAACCAGTTTGCACCAACTTTATGCGGGTGTGACGATGAAAGTTGATGATAGCATCATTGTATGTGCCATAGTTGCTGGTAAACCTCGCTACCTTACATCATAAATTTTGGGCACACGTTTACACACAATCAAAGCGTATTGATATAGTATACGAGTACTTGTATATATAGGTTAATTTTGTCTTATATTCAAGATAGATGCGTTAGCATTCAAGCGGTGAAAGAATAAATTTTAAAATTGAAAAGTAAAATAAATGGATCTTCATTTGATTATTAATATTTATATCTGTGATTTCTTTTTTAAGGAAATAGGCACTTCCAAAATAAATGAATTCAAGAAAGAAATAAAATTATAAAGTAAAACATGAAGCTATTCAATTCCTCTTCACTTGTAACCGCAAGTCGCTGTGGGATATATCCACATTGTAACATGAAACAGCGGTACCAGCATGAAATGAGGAAGAGGGCCCTAAACCCCAACAGCAACCTACATCTGCAGACCGTTTTCGCGGCATAAATATCTCACTACTAACGCAACGACGTCATAAAGCATCGGGCGCGTGAGCCGATCGGGCATTTATTGCCCCTAATCGTTTTATATGGCACATCTCGTAAAATTACAGTGTCGCTGCCTATCCGGTCGCCGCCGTAGAGATTGATTGGAAACGGTTGCGTTCTACATTTTGTCGTACATGAATTATTTATCCCACTTTATTTGGGATTAGTAGGTGCCGCGTTAGCATTCACACGTCGCACCACAGTCAACGGCTAATTACCATTGCGAACATCAGTTACAAGCGGTAAAACGGATTATCCGCTTGTCTCTACTTATTGATTAGTAGCTATTATTCGAGGCAATAAATTCTCCGCTACGCACGAATTTATCTTTTTGCGTGTGTGCTGACATGCTTGTTTCCCACCCGACTTGCGACAGGTTAACATTTTTAATAATTCCATTTCTATCTGTGTGCCCCGATTATACACTCGGCGTTCTTTTGTCACGATTACACTACAAACCCCGTAATTTCAAAAAATCCATTACGTATAAGGCAATTTATATATAACGTTTTAGATCACATTAAGATCATGGTATTTTTTAAGCCATATTGTCGAATTCCTATTACGCAAATGACACGATCCGCTCGGTCGGCGGCGCGGGCGTCTCCGCGGCTCAGGCCGCGCTGTAACGGCATCATCAATCATCTGTAATTTGATTTCTATGCTCAATTATTGCGTCCGCGGAGGTCGACGCAGCCGTACACCCCGCTCCCGTCGCCTCTCGCCGTTGATATATGTGGGTAATAGATAACGGAATTCGACTGGTGATTGTTGCCAATAAACTCTCGCCCGACGACCTTACAGACTACAGGTGTGCGAGTCGCGTCGTAGGGAGCACCGAATAATCGCCCCTCCGACGTCTAACAACTGCAAACGGCGGAATATTAACGAGTACCAGACGTCATTAGTTACAACTGTTCGTTGGTATTGTTAATTTATTTGAACAGTTTGTCTGCTAGCTGCAATATATCTTGTACATTATTATTCATTATCGATTTGCAAGACAAATTACAACCTCAAATTAGCAGCCTCACCCACTAAAATAACTTCGCGTTTATAAAAATTTATATTCCTCGAAGCACTGTTAGAATCTAACGCCATTAATGTTCGATAATGTGGCATCGTGACAGACAGTAGGCGTTAAACATGATAATCGCAAGAGGCGCATGACAACAGCAGCGCGCGCGCATCGGTCACGACCGCCGTCGCCCGCGGCGATGCCACCTAGTACTGGCGCACAAAGTAGCGCTCTTTTAGACAACGATCTTTATAGCCTCGCGTCAATCTAGGTAATGTCACACGCTTATTTTCACATCCATCATCACCTCGGCGCGAACGCGGACGGACGCCGCCGAGACGGGAAAGGGGACACCTGTTTTACTTAACCACATAAAGGACGGGTAACGATGGGCTAACGATGTGCCGCGGACTTGTTAACTTCATATCACCGGCCGCGTACGCGGATGCGCGGGCGCATTTGAATCGGTAAAGCGACTTCGGATTGTCGAGGGTGGTGATGATGGCCATATCGGAACGAGGCGCCCGCGCGGCTAACTGTCCACCAAAGTGGTGCAACGTAACGGTAGGTGGCGCGCCGAGTTGCGCACGAGCAGCCGCCGACCGCGCTCGACCACGCCGCCCCCTCCCAACCGCGCCGTGCCCAAATCCACGCGGCAAATCCAAATTCGTCACCAGCCTCCTCTTTTTACAAAGACACGCGTCCCCGATTGTTACGTTCAAATCGGCAATTTTCCGAGAGATACGGTTACCTTTCCGGTCCGACCCGATTTCGATTTATTGTCGAGTGTCCGAGCGCGATTCATTGATAAACGGTTTCGTCGACTACGCTTCAGTGTAGTTTAACACGGTTTGTACCTTGATCTTTGCTTGAATATGGCACCTTAATATTTTACTAATCCATATGGCTTCTAGAAAGCGGTACATTACTCCTGCTGACTTTTTTAATTCAAAATTCACGTTATAAATATGTGAGGTCATAAATTGCTATCCTGTCCTGATAGCTGAAATGTCATCTGTACCGGCACAAAAGAACATACACTGTTTATGTCAAACGCAATATTAAAAGTAAAAAGAAATTATTTTACACAATACCTACAAATAAACAGAAGTCAATAAAGGAGAGTGAATAAATTTAATCCTTAACCGAATTGACACTTAAACGTGTTTTGTGCACGCGAGAAAACCATTGACATTTCCTGAAATGCGAATTCACTTTGAATTATACGTTAAGTCGAAATATACCGAGGTGGGTGTACAATATTGATAGTTTAACAGAATAAGATTTCCTGGTATTGTTTTAGCTTGACGTGTAACTGTTACGTGTAAGGGCCTAAAGCGAGATACAGGCCCATACCGGATTGGTGTTTGTCTTACAAAGGTAGGATTGAATCAGCGTTATCTGCTTACAGCAGCTTCTCAAAGCCCACGCTCGTAAATATACTCTTGTCTGACTCTAGTCCGGTATACATCTATCGATATTGAATGAAATATGACCAAATAAAACGAGCCCCGACTAGAATTGCGATCAGTGATAATAATGCATGAATGACGAGACGTGGGCATCGTAATCTATGGAATAAATGATATCTAACACTTATTGAAATGATTCGTATAGATGTAATGAATTAAATATACGACACATGAATGACACGATAAGAAAATTTGTGAAAAATTGTGATACATACCGAACAACAACTCAGACATTTGACAATCAAGAGTTGGTCGGAAAATTGAAACGAAGCGAAACGGTGTGCTGCATTGTTTTGACTGTAATCTTAGACTGCAATGCTGTATGTAATGCCCCGTGTAGATTTCTTGACCGCAATGAACACAAAGCCGACAGTAATGATAGGAACTCGCACCTGATAGATTCCATTTACAGCTTCACTCCATCTTCCTCGTCGGCAGTTTCGGAGGAAAATTGTGTTGCGGCTTTACCGGCTTTCGCGGGAATCGAATCCGCGGTGTTACTAATCTAATGGTGGCGGAGGCAAAGTTGTTTCGGTATCAACGCCGTACTAACACCGCCTATTGAATTTCAAATGGCCTTAAAAGTTTAGAGTCTTGCACATTCTGAAATATAAAGTGTAACTCGGTACATTCAAAGTGTAGATTATGAGGAAGAATGAAGTATTAAGAATTGGATTTAATCTCGAATTCCATTATTACTTATATTATCTTTATAAATCTAAATAGAACTAGCATTTTCTTTAGACAGACATTCAAATACATATAATTCAAATAAATGTATCTAACATGTGTCAAAAATTGTTAATTGGTGCAATCGGAGTCGCTTGCGTACGGAACAGGCGACCAGTCCGGACTAACGGATCCCGATTAAACTCATTAACGGCCGAGTAAGAGTCCCCTTAGCGCCAGTAAATTGTCATACGTATCGCCTCACAGACCGCCAGAATTAAATTGCCGGCGATGATAAACTCAAACATGGTACGAGATTTTAATAATTATGGGGTAGCTTAGTTTCGTTTTGTGTACAGTTTTATTGCGTGTTCTACGCACATTTCGCCCCTATGAAGTATATATCATTTTTAAAGTCGAAACAAATATTACAACAAATATTCATTAAGAGCGGACGTATAATTTACAGTCGGTATAAAACCAAGAAGTGTTCCGAAGGCGGTTCTTTATTGTTTGTGAGCCGCGATTCAGAAAGGGCGGGCGGTGCGATGCCCGGCCGGGGGCCAACACGACGCGATGTTCTGCCCCCGCCTTCTGCACCGACCCATTGTTACCTCCCGGCCCTATGGACCACATGGTTTCCTGTGCGCTTGCAATTAAAACTATTTTATGGCCAGCTGTAACCGAGACGAGTATTGCTGGCCATACGTAAGTGCTGTCATTAGAATCCGTAATGAAACGTCTTGCACGAGGTACGATTGTGGTTTATTTGAAAAACTGCTCGGATCATCACAATTTCTCGTGTTATCCGTATACGATTGTCTAACAACGCAATGCCACTTTCATTTCTAATTCGTCCAAAGACAAACTGTATTTTTACCGCCGTTGTTACGTATAATATATTCTTCTATCCCACGCAGTAAATGACGCTATGCAATGCGATAAACGACACGAACAATAATCGAAACGAGATTGCCGCCACGCCAGCCGTTATAGCGGGGTAGTACTGCGCGCACCGTTCCGATGCGTATGACGAATATGTGTATGCTTATGCGTCGCAGCAGACGAACAATCTTCGCAGCATTAAGCTAATATGTAATTGATTGGCTTCCCGATGCACGGGAGTGCCGCTCCTGTCCCACTGATGGCGGCTGCAAAAACGCTAATGCCGTAACGGTGTTCGCGCGGCGGCTCTTCCGGATCCCTCGCTGCGACGCCCGCACATTGGTGACTCTGAGTAGTTAGACGCTCGCTTTCGATCTCCCGTGAGAGATCGCATTCGCGCGTCGGCGTCATGCGTAAAATTAATCCGCATCCGATCTGACGTTGACGTGACGAGCTCGATTGGAAAAACAATAAATGAACACAACGGAAATCCGTCAATAAGTAACAGCTTGGTGGCGCGAAACGGTGTAGCTAAAAGCTTTACGTTCGTACCGCTATCGCTTTGTTATCGCGTCACGTGTCAGTCATTATGAAGTGCTGTCAAAAAACATTGCGATAAACAAGTTCAATAAGAAATATTAAGCTTTGTTTCGTATTATTAGATGAAAGGTTATTAATAAACTTTATGTATTCGTAGTGCTCAGCTATCGCCACAAGATAATAACGGTACGATGCAAGGAGTATTTCTTTTCTTTTCGTTTCAGACATTTTTGATGGATAATTTTAATTGCGGAAGCGGTTCCGTTGCGCGTGGGAGACTTGTGTCGGTTGTTTTACATTGTTTAGGCATCGTTATATTTTGGAGTCATTCCTCTTACGTAAAATGGAATTTTGTTGAAGAACGGTTTCTTTCAAATTTAGTTCGGAAAAATATTTTGTTCTTAAAATCTTAACCCTATTTTTATATATAAAACTTCGCATCGTTTATTAGTTACTACTACTTTAAAACTACTTTTAATTTGCATTCAAATATATGGATGGTGCACATGTCTTACATTTTTCGGTCAGAAAATCGAACCCCAGCCTACTGTGTGACAGGCTAGAATTAAAAAAATAAACATATCCTGAATATTTATTTCTAAATAGCAACATTTTTCTATAGTGATTGTACCTCGTAGTACTTTTACTTACGTTAAATTATCAATATCGTCGGATTGAGATTTTTTGTTTGTCACTTTACCGAAACAATTGAATACTTAACCGCGAATCACATAACAACCTGTATTTAGCCCAAGCGAGCCTCGCCTCCGGAACCTGTTTAAATATCAAAGCGAACGCACAAATAAAAGTGCCCGCACGTCGCGGGGAAAAGAACTCGGCCCATTCCAGAAATTCCGGCCGGTCAGGTGCGAACGGCTGTACGGCCGTTGTCGCATCGAAGGCAGCCATCGCGATAGTCCACCGTAACAGGTACGGTCGCGCGTAATTTAAGTGGAGCGATATATTGCGGCCGCACGACGAGACGGTGCCGGCGCGCGAATCCCGTTGCGACGGACGCCATTACCGCCCACCGCACAGCGCACGCGTAGAAAAACCGACCCGCGGCGATGAAGATGTCGCCCGGCGATAACACTCGACGGACAGTTGTCACCGCCGCCTCCGCCGTATCCGCGGCGGGCTTATCGCGCTTTCGAATCTGGAGCCCGCCGCGAATATCCAATTATGCTCTCACAGGTCCCAGGGCGGCCACTGCGCCCGAACTTTGCATGCGGCGCACCGCGTTTGCCCCCATCCGCGGCTTTTAAATGGGGTCTGTGAAACGGGCATGCGGTGCTGCGTAGAATACGGTGCTTTTACGCACTGGAGTCGACTACGTAATGTCGGTTTTATGATAGATTATAACGACTGTTACGCAGTGTGATATATTGTTTTGTAACGTCAAAGTGTTCGGCTATGATAGTTTTTTCCTTAGCTCTGGTTGAATGAAAAAGTAGAGTGATTAAAAAAAACTACCGGATATACAATATTACGGTGAACCACTAACCCAAGAAACATGAGATACATGAAACGACTCTTGGCAGTGTGGTCTACACAACGTGCCTATTTTACGCCTAATTGCTCGTACGCTCACTAACGTCACTTAAGATATCCGCCAAGACCACAATTCACGAACATATAGGGCAATCAAGAAAACGATTACTTACGCCCATAGTCTTGCTGTCCGTAGAGTGCTTAAAGGAATACTTGGACTCCATAACGATGGCACATTAGTGGTTTATCCGTTCTGTTCGCGTTTTATTTTATTTTTTAAAATTACTATAATTCATAGTGATGTACATACTCAACCTCTATTGGAGTCATTGCGGTAATAAAACGAAACGTTATTATTTTAAGAAGGTTGAAAGGTAAAATTTGTATTGATCAATGAAAACCGATCATTTTCATGGCTCGCCTCAGGGGAACATAGCGGACGCCCTTTACTTGTTCTATAATACGCACAATGATTACTTCCCGTTGCATTCCCTACGCCTCAGGCAAATAATGCTCGGACATTTCCTGCACAATACCCCCTGTGTGATCGCTTTAATCTGTATACATCGCGTCCGTTAGATTAACATAAGACTATTAAGATAGGAATCGCCCTGCGATTATTGCTGTACAATCAGGAAACAATATGCCCGCTGAATGATTGAATAGATATCGGAACAAATGCATCGCGATCTCGGATCATTCCTGTAATCGATGAGATCTAATTCCAAGCGATAAGGACACGCTTTGTTGGAGGTCAGCTGAACAACATTTTGCATTGAAGAAAGTTTAATATGAAATACATACTTTGTGGTCGTTTCAAAAACTAAGAATACGAATGATTAATAACATGTGAATTAATCGAAACTTAGTGTCAATATTGTTTCATGACCACTTGCTGGTGACTAAAGGTTCGATAAGCAATCCGCTGTTCGAAAAGTAGCCATGTTCACGTATTTTACAGTAATAACCACCACGGCAACGTTGGCGATGTTCTCTGACGACACGGGAATTATTCGTGCCGTGACACCTATGGCCCCGGCTCGACAACATATGTTTAAGGAAATTTATTTTCAATACACCACGGAACAGGTTTACCGCATACAACCGACGTTTCAATGTGCCCGTTATATGTGTTACTTTATTATTTTCGCTACGCGTTATTAATGTTCACTCTGAACGGAAATACTATGAATTTTTATTAGCACACTCAGCTGAAACCCTTACATTTCCTTTCCTTTCTACTGAGAATGTTATTAATATCTGCTTGGTAGTCTTCTTCTGTAGCTTTTATTGATTATAGACTATTCCCAGGATGGAACTAAAGACACACACACCATGCACCCAAGCATTGTCTCAAGGGGTGCAAACCCCTCCCCCTGGAAATTTTAGGCCTAATATCGGCTCGTACTGTGACGGATGTTTGGTGATAGCGCGTGAATCTGTACATACGACAAACGTTATAATGGTTAACAGAGACACGTAGTATGTTTATCTTGAAACGTTGTTGACCTTTCGTTGATAGCAAGTAGGGACGTTGTCTTTTAGAAGCCATATTGTCTACATGTCACAATGGTAATGGAAGGGGTTTATGTTTTAGTAAATATGTATAGATATAAATTTGAACAAAAAATATATAAATAGGGACAATTTTCAAACTACGTAACGCTGACTGTTAGGTTATTTCGCCATACAGCGGTAAGCGATACTTAATTATGTAAAATACAATCAAAAGTTTGTTTAGAAATGATTTAATAATAATTATAAAAAGATGTTTGGCAGAGTAAATAAAAATACGCGCAAAGCTTGATACTGTGTCAAAAAAAAACTAGCAATGCAATCCATAAATTCGAAGCATAAATTCGAAGAGAATCTGGCACCCGACTGTTTGTTCTTCGAAAGGTATATATTGTTTTTTTAATTGTGTACGCGTTATAGTGTTGCAGTTGATTTTATATCATTGTATCCTTATGAAATATTATTGAGTTCAATACACTCTCCTTTGCATGTTTAATTTGATCGGAAATTATTAATACAGATATTTCTTCCATATATTGGTTTGCTTTGACATTTATTTTCTTAAGTAATTTTCAAGTAAAAACGATATATTAATTTAACAGTATGCCTTTAAGGTAAAGGCGTTGTTAACAATAAATATCAACAATACACATTTCTGTAACGGTTGGTGTTAATCCATTATGATCGAAAAAAATATTTTCCTATACTTTGGTAAATACACTACAGGAATCATCACTTTAATGTCGGGTTATAACGTTAACATAATGTATATATATGTCATACCGTCGCATTATTATTAAATTCAGGTCTCCGAACATCAATTACAAAAATATAAAAACTAACGATTTCATTTACAAGCTAGTTACGTGCGCATTACCGAAAAAATAACAGTTACTTATTTACGCTCCGTTAACAAGAACTTCTTTTTTTATGAGCTTTTCATTCGTAATATGGCAATTACGATTTTTAAGTAGCAATTGTGAAGTTCTCAGACGCATTCTATTAAAAGAGGTTTCGCCATTACGTTGGCGCCGATGCCCGCTATGTTAGTTGTAAATTCGCTCCATATATTAATAAACCTTCGGCGGGAAATATCTCACGTTTTCAATAATGGATCGTAGACCTATTTCTGCGCGACGGGAACTTGTTATTTTCCGCGCCGTCCCGTTGATTTAAGTGCTTCCTTAACGGCTAATAAGACATAATGACCTGTTATTTCTGCAGATTCACGAATTCCGATCTTAAAAGAGTAAGGTGCTCAAGGTGACTGACCTGTAGACTACGCAACCGCTACACCCGCCAGCGTCCGTCCTGCAAGCAAAAGCAATAAAAACGTTAATTACACAGTTTCTGCGTGACTGTATCTTATTCATAACATGTTAAATAATAGTCTAAAATTGAAAGGTACACATATTTTCTTATAACACCGTTCGCGTTTTCAGACTTATGCACATGATTTCCTCACTTAAAGGCATTATACACTCGATATAATTGCGAAAGTATCACGTTCTGGAATTTCTTGGAACTCGTTCACGAAGTAAACTATTCTGCTTTTTGCATAGATAAAGCAGGAGTTCTAGGGCTTACCGCCGCCCGTGTTGAGCTTGTTACCATATTTGAATTTCGTAATCTTTTTCTTATTTTTGCATGTTGCATTAGTATTTTTGTGTCATATAGATAATATCTATATTTATTTAAATCTATATCTGTATATATATCATAATTGATCCATTTGTATTTAATAAAATGTGGTTAAATATAACATTAAAGGCAAAATTTATCTCATACTAATTATGGGCGTTCTGTTTACTGACAAGAAAAAAAAATATTTTCTCAAGTTTTTTTTTTAATTTTTATTCTAAAAGTCACATAAATTTTCTAATCATATAAATTTTATTCCAGAGGATACCTTACTTTAAAAAGCTGGGCCAAGAATAATCGCGTCTCATTTCGCATCCACTTTAAAGTATTCAAATCTCTATTTTTGTATTCCAAAGAAGAGGTGTCCTAAGAAGAACATCGTTTAATTTACATTTAACTGTTCACATTCAACGGCTCTCTTCGTACGACTACTGAATTAAAACGTTTTTAGAAAGTATCAAAGCTTAAGAATAATCAAGATAAGTTTTAGCCTTTTCAAGAGGTTACACTTCGAGTGTTCCTATAAAAGGCTATAAAGTCCCATTAAGCGATAGCGAAAACTCACTTTCGCCCTATTTAGACTTCGTTATAAAGTTTAAGTGATCGTTTTTATTATAGGAATTTAACAATTTTTATTTTATTTATGTAAAAATCAATTTGGATAAAATTTTGTAATTATTGGTTATTATGTTAAAAACGAATAAACCCTTAATAGATGTATAATTGTCGATAAATAAAACTGGAATATTGAAACTGCCAATTAGAATGAGTAATGGTAATATTAAATTATTACCACGTCACTCGTGTAATTTTCACGTACCAGGGCATTTTATAACTTGGGCTTATGCTATAAGAATAGTATATATATGAATCAATGGCAAGAAGGGTCGTAAAAAAAAATATTCACAACCTAACGTTTAAGTTCCTCAATTATTTTTCCAAACCTAATTAATTGGGTACAATTAAACGTTATTTTGCTATACATATTGGAACTGTAACAATTTGTTTTCAATTATCGTAATTTTTTATTGACCACAAACTCATGAGTGTCATACCTATGACAAGTGCTTTATGTATGGCTGGCTCACAACTGTTATAGACACACATACGTATTTAATCTTAGTGATCAACGAACCATAACTGTTGTTTTATCCACCATACGAATGGTACACCTGTTCAAATACTCAATTTTCTTGCTTGTAATCACAATTTCACAGCCTAACACGATAAAAACTGTCTAAAGAAATATTTTACTTTGCTAAAGCCAATGTCTTCTTTGTTTATCGTAAGTTACTTTTCTCACAACAATAATCGAATATGCGTGAAGTCCAATAAAAAAAAGCGCGTGTTCTTAAAATAACATGAGATTTCGATTCATTATTGATTGGTTTCATTTGTAAAATGGAATGGTTAGTGCATGCGCCCAGTCGAAATGTCCCAGTAATAGCGTTCGCGCTGTTGCTAAGCACATAAAGGACACCCTTTGAGATGACTAAATTAAACAAACTGTGTAAAATGGTAAAAAAATTGTTCCGCCGAGTTTCTTACGCCGGTTCTTCTCAGCTGAGTGCCTTTTCTTTTCGGGACCGGCGGTAGTATTTTGACAATCAATAAGTGAGTGTAATACTCCTATGTTGAATAAAGATATTTGAATTTGAACAGAAAGTGAGCAGAGATATTCAAGGTCGTTGTCAATCGCACCAAAAAACCCTGTCAATGACACAAATGAGCAAGCCACAAACGGCCTTCAGCCAGTGCACCACTCACAGCTCCCGTAGCCCATCTGTCAATGTCACGACCACGCCGAGCAGTATTCTCACGTGTGCAATACGAGGAAGTGTTTTTATCGCCATTACGTAAAGAAGCCATTACTGAAACGCCTAGCCGGCCCTTCTTACTCATGTTGCGCTGCTTAAAGCGCCCTAATCTAAGGCAGTAAATTCGTATTAGATAACGAAAGCTGAAAAGCGAACATACGTGCACCTCGCGAATTAACGCGTTTTATCGGAATCAAATCAAACGCCGCCGATTTATACTACACGCACTTGCAATGAACGACACGGGCGCTTTATTTGCTTCTTGCTTGTATGTTTGAGCAGATGTAATGCTGCTTTTAACTTGTCCTTTACTGCTGTACAACGTAGGCCAATAACCCGCAAATATTGACTCTTCGGTAGCATGTAAGACTATTCAGTAGTGAACTTCGGTTTTAAGCAAATCTTAACTTGTAATGTCTTCGTAAATTTTATAATTAATCTTTGATAATTATAACCTAACAGTTTATATTACAATTTGTTGATACTAACTTCTTTGAATCGAAGCTTGTAATACTGACTGTCAAGTTTTAATCCATAAATCCTAGACTCCTTATTGAAAAAGCATCTTTAAAATTATAAAATGAACCGTGTCACAAATTTTTACCGCCACAAAAAAACGATCTGGAGCTCGCTTAGGCACGGAGAGAGGCGTTTTTCTCATCTAACGAATTCTTAGTTTATTAGTTTCGTCGTATTAAATCACGAACGCGTCCGCCTGCATTCAGGTTGAACGAACCAGGCATAAAAAATTGTCATTGAAGCGGTAGCTAGGTTATTTATTTGGTGATGAGTGTAATTCGATTAAATTTCGTCAGTTGGGACGTTGAACTGTACTAGCTAGGCTATCAAGTTTGACGCTCTTTTCGAATTACATCCATTAAGTACGTGATGCAATGCTTGGCCTTTTTTTGTGATAAATTGAATTACTTATATATTGAACATTGCCAGAAGCAGACATATATTATAACCAATAACAATAAAACAGTCCAAATTTAGTCTTTCGAATTTTACCTCGTTTTAAAAAATTATCAATATTTGGCGTTTACTAAAAAAACATTACCTTTAATAGCATAAAACATTTGCGTCAAAAGGACATTTAAATTCAGCCTTTAAATTTCAAAGAAAAAACATTCACCCGAAATGTTGTCCCAATTCGATATTTTATTGAGTGTGTTATATCAATTATTGTTTAAAAAAAATACTCGTTACATACTAAAAGGTGTCCATAAAATTGTGCAAACAAATTTATTGGGAAACTGTTGGAAAATGTTGGATTCGATTGTGCTATCGTCGCAACAAACGTTGAGAAAAGGCGTAATCGCCGTCGTTAGGGCTGGGAAAAGACGATCACCGATGTGAACAAGGTCACGGGGTTCTAATTGAAAAATGTCGACGGCGTCGGACATAGCAACCGCCTCCGTTGATCTTAACTGTACAGCCAGCTACCGTACAACTTGCACAGAGCCGCAACGGGAAAAGCTCGCAGTAAACAACGACATTGACCGTCGCCAATGAACCGGCGGCAATTTCTTCCAGGAACCGCATTCTCTTCGCCGAAACCGCAATAGACATAAATATAAACAAATAAATTATATTTCGAGCGCTTGTGTTATTTTCCCACTGAGAAAACCCTCATTTTCTGTGTCATCTGTTTTACGAAAATTCCCCGTGTCGGTTGCTAAGTTGAGCCATCCAGAAATTCCTTTATTCATCATAATACGAGCCGTCTCGCTTCTTGTTCGGGGTCCTACTGTGACAACCATTATAATTCTGTGTGAATGTGGTAGTCTACAAAGAAGGCTTTGTGTACAGTATAAATATTTATGAGCAAATGCTTATTTTCTATCCATGTGACGATATGCACGGTACCAGCGACCTAATTGTACACTTTTAGATACGGATTCGTGTTTTGGGAGTGTCGAAGAATATCACATATTTCTTGCTCACTTTACTTGATTGATTGCCTTACTTTTCTTTTACCTTATTAATTATTTGTTACTTGTACTTGATTAAATGAATAATAAATTATTAATACTCCATCCATGCCATCACTTAAACTTCTGTTCCAGTATTGAAATACAATTTTAAAAATTCTATCTAAAAATATGTATAATGATAATCTCAACTAAAGATCGCATTCCTACTTTCTCTTAACTAGTTTCTTGAGGTACTACAAGAAAGTAAAACCCCGCTATCTTGGTTATCGATGACTTGCCCAGTGTCCTGTTGACACAAATATTCTGATAATAAATATCTCTAAAAACCACTTGGAAATATTTATTGATGTTATATATGTATATTGCTCTTTTGTTAATATTAAGAAAAGAGGGGTTACTTATTGCAAGTAATTAAGGGAATAGGATGAAAATAACAAGAAATGACATCAGGACCTCAAGCAGACGTAGAATTAAATTAGAATCGATGAATAAAGCGCGTTAAAATACGTAAAATTTGCAAGTAAACGGCAATATATATCAACGACATAAGAAACCAAAAATGTATTGTAATAATAATCAATTTTGATGGTATTAAGCGCGCATGAATAACTTATGTGCGTCTACTAAGACGCCATAACGACCCCAATAATTTGTCCGCTATTAGATATGTGTTACGCGGGAACGGTAAGTGTCACGTCGACTTCTGAGTTAGTGCTTGCAGTTAGTTGTTTCTATCCCAGCCCTTGATCATGGCCACGTCATGATTTACTTCTATTCTACAATAGTCAACGTTAAAGTAAAAATATTAATATAAATTTTACTTGTAAAACATGAATTGTGCAGAGCTCGTTGAAGAAAAAAGAGCTCGTTGTTGAAAAAGCCTAAAAAATTATAAATAAGATGGTGTTAAATCATTGACAGAGATCGCGTAGGGCCACTAAGTTGTAACACGTTTGGCACACTTTCCGGCGGTTTCGCTTCGGCACCGCATCGACGACATCACGTTTCCCATGTTAAGTATTGTTTATTGAAGTCATGATATGACCTTAACATTGTATTTTACGATTGTCTCGTCATCGGTCCGAGCACTGACATTTCAATAGAGAAGGTGAGCGAAGGTCGCGGCGTGAGGCGCAGCACGAAACTCCGCGTGGCCAGATACATTCCCAACACCCATCTGCCTCTCCCGCCCTATGACCAGATGGCTCCTACGTCAACGGCGACCCCATTCCACATCGCGGAAGCCATCTCGGAATATAACTTATTCACATCACTAATGCTCCTCCGAACGCTACCTCGAAAGCACGACCCGAGCGGGATTTATCTCAAGGCAGAAGGCGTAAAATACGACCATCATTTCTCACAAATGGAAATCGTCGTTCAAACGATCGCCTGCGCTCCCTCCCTCGCCGAGCTACCGTTTCTTTGGCATTTCTCTAAATGCATCCGGTACGTTATCAGAATCGGGAGCGAACTGAAATTTGCATCTAACGCTCGCGTCGTCTTAACGTCGATTGTGGGTGCGGGTGCTCACGATTTAACGCCGGGCATTAATGCATTATTCAACGGAGTTTTCATTAGGCCGCCACTATCGGTGGAGGGGATCGTTTTCTCGTTAAAATGTACGGATGGCATGACGGCCGCTCGTATTCGGCGCGATGCCGAGCGGCACGCGAGCACATATCACTTATCACGCTGAAAGCTCCACTAAGTTTATTTCCAGCCCTCTTTTGCCTTCGATCTTTTCTCACAATCTTACAATATCTCTTGCGCCTTGCGCATATTCTTCTTAAAAGCTACTAATGGCACTTTGAGAGAATTATCTACGAGCTCTCCGTGTATTAAAAACAATGTTTTAGCAAATGAGACAACGGCCATCCTTTAAATGCCTATTGGTCATATTTAGTTATTAGTCATCGATATTTAATCTGTCACGTTGACAGAAGTCCTCTTTTACAGGTCTTATTTGATCGACGACCCTTGGTTGAAAAAACCTCGTTTGTAGTTTAACCAGTTGTAAAGAAACCGATGCCGTATGGTCAGTCGGGTCGAGACAGGTTTATCAACCCCACATACGCCATGTATTCACGGATGCTGGCTACGGTATACTTTCCACATTAATGAGCGCGCATCCCGTTCGCGTTGCCCTAAATTACAGGTATACCTTATTATTAAGCAATAAATTTACGTTTAACTGTAGTTCATTTATAAAACGTCCTATTAATTTTTATTAAAGGCCCGTTCCTTAATTGTTATTACAGGGATAATAACATGAATTTAAGATTAAGACTATAAATATGAGTTTATACACTACATAAAATGTTTAATCATTAATAGCTATTTAGTATCATTTCAATCTATCATCTCATTACAGTAAGCAACAAAGACGTTTCTAAAGGAATGAAAAAATTCTATAAATATAGATTTTTTTTTCAATTTTTACGCTTCATTATTCAAGCTAAATTATGTCTTATTTACTAGCTTATTCATGGGAAGAATGTATGTATTTTGGCATGTATTTTGTCTTCAAAGAACTAATCCGCGATCTCTCTTTAAATACATGATCTCACAGATAACGCTCTCTCAGACTTAACACCTTCACATGTAAACAAAAGCCCCTCTGACCGGGTTAACCTTGAATGGTAGATGTGCGTGGAGAGTCGCAAAGGAGAAATATGCCATTGATGCAAGCGGCGTGCGTGCGCCAGATAACGGTCGCCTTGCGAGCCGAATAAGTGGTTTAACGTCGCAAGTGGAATGATAATGTTCACAGCGACACGTATTGTCACGCGATTTCACTTCTATTAGTCCGGCGCATTACTTCTTCAATGTCCAGACCGCGAAGCGCCTTCAGCAAATACAAATTGCTTATGGTATATAAACAAGACGTTCCGCGGGCCCGAACCATATAAATCGCTAAGCATTTTGTTTAACCAATTATGGGGAAGGTTTTGTGTCGTGTCGCTGTCAGCAAGCGGCAGCGGGGGACAATGCGCCGCTAACGAGACGCAGCGGCGGTCGATCGCAAAGAGCTTCATGGAACACCTCAATCCCCTCTTTGTTCCTGTTGGCCCGCCCTTACCAGTGGATCTCGATTCCGTCCTAGGAGCAATAAAGCTCAAAGCCAACTCACGACTCTCTGCTGTCTACCCTTTATTGCCCGAACGCGCTCCGATCTTGAGCGTAATTTTAATAACTCTGCCTGGATTGTTACAATAGACACACTATGCAAATGCTCGTGATTACTCTGAACCGTTATTGAACGATATCCAAAGCGATAAAGTGCCTCACGGAATAAAAAACAATAATAGGCAATGGAATATCCGCCGCAGGCCTTCTTGCAAATCCCCGAGCCAACATTGTAAACTACATTGGTGGTAAAAACAGAATTACTTGGTCCCTTATAAGTTGTTGGAATATGCGAGTGAATGAGTAAGGAGAAACGTTCCTTGTGCACTGAATTGAAAAAACTACATATTTGCAGGAAGAAAGTGCTCGTACAAGCTCTCGCAGCCGTCCTTGTTAATATGTGGTTAAGTTACTTCGTGTTGATGTCTTATGTGAATTTAAGACTACCTTTCACGATATGGTTGGATCCTTTCTCTTTTGCGACCATACTGTGACAAGTGCACTCTTCCTTTCTAAATTGCACGAATTACTAGAACGCAAGTCATTATTGCGAGAATGAATTGCTTACACTTCTGTCGTCGGCCATTAGCGGTAGGTATATCTTAAAATCATATGCAAAAATATACTTAGTGCTTGATCAGAAATAATCAATTGGTAATTACTGCGTTGAAATGTTTAGAGTTTCGAATAAAGGTTACTCTGAATAAGTTTCCAATTCAAAAGTCGCTTCATCATCTCCCCTGACAAACTGCTGTAACAAAATAAGATTAACAATTTTCTCACGTTCGCATCGAGATCGAGTTAGACGTTAGACCACTGCAAAAAGCCAGTTGAAAATCTAATAGAGTTTGTGGCAAGCGAGGCCATTTTTGCCTTGTTTTGTTTCGCTGACACTGTAGCAGAGCTTTGTAACGCTCTCGAAGGTAAACGTTGTAACCTAACATTACGGTAATAACTCCAAACCGCCCCTTCTGTCATTATCCTTGCACCTTTCTATGTGCTCTTAGGATATTTTTGCCGTGTGCTCAACTCCTCATATAACAAATTTAATATACGAAGACAGCCGAAGACAAAGATTATCAACTTATAAAGCCTATTGAATTTTTTAACAATTTTCGAAATGTCTCGGCAACAATCTATTTCCGAGCTTAACTAGCTTATTAAAAAATAATAAATGATTTGTTATTATTATTATTTTCTTCTAAAATTCTCCTTCGCACGTGTGCGTGTGAGTGTCCCTATCATTAAACTACAGCTTGATGGCGTTATCAACAAAACACTATTTCTTCTCTGGTAGTACAGTGATTTAAATTGAACCAGCTCCTCTATTCTTCTTTTTTGTAATGTCCACGTTCCTCGAAGGTGTTACATAATTGCATGGATGTGATCATAATACGATGCGTCGTCGACGGTTCCTCTTCGCCTTAACATATTTATTGTAATTACTTTGCCCCACCGCGGTTCTAGTACATTAGTGTACGCCCATTTGCAAGGATTCTCGGTACGCGATCAAATGTGTCGCAAAGCATAAAACAAAATCGAAAAACTCGTACAGTTTTTTAGTAAATAAAAATAAGAAACTTATAATTGTTGAGAAAGATCTCATCTATTATTGTAATAGATCAGATCTTTCACAACAATTATAAGTCCGAATCTGAATATGAATCTGAATTTGATTTTTAATGAGATCACGGGTGAAAAGACGTCAATATGTTCATTTAGGTGCGTATATAAATCGTTATACAAAAGCAAGTTCCGGAAGCCACCTATAATTGAAAGCTCGCCCGCCGCCGAGCCGCTAATTAATCGGGCGGCGTTGATTTTAGCGGTAATAGGTTAGCGTTTAGCCCTCGCTATCGGCGGCTCGGCTTGCTCGAGCGCTGATATCGCTCCCGTGATCAGACCTCTGGCCCGCATAATTGGCGTGTGGGTGCGGTGCCGGCGCTGCCCCCCAACGGGGTGACGCCCGTAGAGATAGCTCGGCCCCATCGCCTAGACCCGGCTACACCTTCGGACGCACACCGGCACATCTATTAACACAATGTACACCGCCGGGACAAACGACGATAATGGATTCCAACTTGTTGCGAGCCAACCGGCTTGATTAACGATGGCGCTATCTGACGGAGCATTTGCATCTGTTGATATTCCGCTAACTCAGATATGAAATATGACTGACTAATAATGTACTTTTTTTACCATTCTGCTGTCTAAACATACGGCACTTGATATAATCGTAACCGATTCCTTAAAATACGATAATTTTCTATTTTAAGTTTTGCCTGGTATTACAAAAGTAAATTTCTTATATTTCCTTGTAACGTTCGAATCGAACATTCTTGCCTATTTTCCAAACAAATCCGATTGTCGCTTTCAATAAGGCAATGAAATCAACAAGTATCCCACAGTATTGTAGGCTTAAGCGGCCCTTGGGCATGACCACGCCCCGCACCATGACGCCGACAAAGTCCTCTCATTAGCAATAAGTTCTCGGTGTCCTGTTACGCAGGACCAGACGACACGAGAACGCTTCGTTAATTATTGAAGCCTCGCAACGATCACATCTCGAAATGCTTCGGCTATCTTGAAAGTGGTCGTTTCCGACTTCTAATCTGCTCTGTCCACAATGGTAATTACTTGCTAATATGGCAATACCAGAACCACTGGCGTGTCTAAATTTATAGTTTGTATAGATAATGGGCCCACATATCTTCTTTATTACTGTACCGTCGATTCGATTTGTAATGTTGGGCAAGCTTTTAACATATTGACACAGTTAATTAAATTTCATGTAGCAAATACATGCACCTATATTATTTATTCGCTTTGATTCAAATGATTTTGTTTTCATCCTTTAAAGCAAGTAATATTAGTTACTTTTATTCATAAACCCTACAAAGGGACCAGGGCACACCATTTATAAACGTCACCTGAGAAATTTTCGAGATAAAGGCTTGCCTCTTGGGTTGCGCACTTCGCTTTCCACAGACCCCTCCCTGTAATTTAAGCCGCGCGTACACTTAGTTGCTCCGGACAAATTTTTCCTGGCTTATAACTCACTTTCTAGTTAGAACAAGCTGTGCCCCCAGGGCGGCCGCTGCGGTCCGCTCTTGAAAATCCTCATCCGTGCTTTGTCTGTATAAATAAATGGACCTTAAATATACGGACGCCGCAGTGGCAACAGTGAACAAATTTTATCGCTTTATTGCTTTATTGCTCACTCTATGGTAAATGTTAATTGATGACGTGTGCTTGTGGTAGTGGTGAGATATATACGAGTGAAAATCACCACTCAATTTGCATTGGATCCATGTAAAGCGCCCACTCGGGCACTCGTTACCAAGACCGACGCCCCTCGGGCCAAACGTCACGACCGACCATCGCGACTGTTTGCGCTGTGCTTTTGTTTTTTCCGCGATAAATGGATACTTCATTAAGTTGACCTTAAACGGGCCACCCTTAATTGCCTTGTAGTTCAAAATCTCTCAGTACCATCTCGCAAAGTATACCCTTGTAACTATCCAGACTTTTATTTTATTACTTTTACTTAATGTGTTTCGAGGTGGGTAAATGAAACTGTTTTACGGATTTTATCGCGTATAATATGATTTTAAATTCCCGACGGTTCGAAGCTTTGCAGCGTTCATGGTCACCGGACAGACAGTCATTTAACCATTTTATTTATTTGTTAAAGTTTTTATCGTTATTTGAATATGCCAATCTGAAAATAATTGTAGCGAATGCCATACTACTCAAAGAGACTGAGCAGAGACTGCAACTTTAGCAGAACACTCAAGTTATAATCAATATTGGTTGTCACTTTGGTGAGTTGTCTTTTTTAGGCGATCGCATATAATTAATGTACTATTATTACATTTAAAATTTTACAAACACGCTATAGACAATGTCATCTTTGATTGTGACCAAAACACTTACAGTAAGTAATACACATAAATCGCGTATGATCATCATAAATCGTATTATGATCACATCCAAGCAACATTACAAATAAAAGTGGTCAGGTGTTCAAGTACATTCGTGAACAGATATCCGTTGCGGTGCGAGTTAGCGGCGCTGCAAATGACATTCCGCGCTGATGCCACATCGTGGCGACGCACTTGTCGCGCGTGTTTGGGTTACATACTGATTCCACATAATTGAACGGCTCTCGCGGACAGCGTTGCCGCACGGGTTTCACTGCAAGCAATATGACGGGGAACACAAGAATAGCCCCCCTCGGCTAATTTGCCGATCGTGCGTTTCGGGCTGCGGTCACGCGCGTGCTTGCCGCAACCGAATTCCGCTACCGGGACGTGACACGTCGCCGAAGTGATGCTGCCGATTTCCAACCGCCTCGACGGGTGTCGCAATACTACGGATGCTACTCCGAGTTCAACGATCACGCTATCGGTTGAACAGCTGCCGTAATTCACGCGGAATGCAACCGAAAAGCATCGCCCGAACATGAAGTTGATCAAACTTTAAAAAAAGCACCACGCGACATCATTTACGAATGCAGTAGCAGCTTTACGCTTGAAAATGTATTCTTTTTTTTTTATATTAGAGGAGAGTGGTTTTTATCGCAAAGCTTAGATAGAACTTCTTTAATATGCCTTTTTACCCAATGGCCTCAAATAATAAATCGTTAAATTAATCACGGCGTTTATTCTTCCACCTCGTGGACCGTTCTATTTTTTTTAATTCATAGATTTTTTGTCACTTCTAGATTGTCAGCAGCGGTGCATGAATAACGCGAAAGACGGAAAGGGTTTATAAAAAGTAACCAAACAACCCAATAAACCTAATACGGATATCTGTTTTTGCTTAATAATTTATTGCAATAATTTGCTATTGTATTCTCATTATTGTCGTGTCGCTTCAATGCTATCCATTTATGAGTATGCCCCTAAGGTTATGATGCTTATGAATATTAACTTATGAATAATAACTTCAAATAAATATAAAGTTATCCTCATCTTTTTTAAACTCAGCATATTTTATTGATATCAAACTAGATTTCAAAGTGTAGCCAACCTTTTGCTCATGCCGTGCTGATCTTTGAAGTTACACAATAGGACTATAAAAATTTATGACAAATGTGTCCACTACGAGTTATGGTAAAATCCCATCGATATTCTCACAATTAGAGATATGCCCGCAGTAAGTTCAATCAGAGCGCTATTCATGTGAGAAACAACAAATAGGGTTACGCCGTAATTAAACTTCGTAATTGAATGTAAATGAAAACACAACCATACATTATGTAGCGAATCGACTTGTTTTTTCAACACACACACACACACACTTCTTCTCCATACCTTATTGCGGTGAGACTGCCGCAATTTTAAATCCAGTAGCGTGAAAAATGAATCTCGAATTAATTCCCGGCATCTTAGTTAATTTACACGTAACCACGGCGTCGTCCATTATAATGTAATGGACGTTGAAGGCACTTGCATATTGATCGGTCATCCGTTGGATTCTATGCATCCGTCGGCCATTACATCTAGCCTCACGAGAGCATGATTAGTGTGTAGTGTCGATCCATCTAATTCTATAAAGAACTTGGACCGCTTAATCTCTACTCTATCTTTATTTATTGAAGCACTAAGCACGTTCGATGTGTTGCACTATTTTTGCTGTGTAATCGTGGTAACCTTATGGTACTATGTATTTTTTTTTAATACTAAATATGGTATGTAGGAGAACATTGCTTCATTGAGCTCCACAATCATTTCATTGAACCGTCACAGAATAGTCTGCTGTTTATCGGTGTTTAATTTTCCGTTCAGGCCTACGCTGTTTTTCGCTGGGAATAAAATTATTTTATTTGGATTTTTATATTCTCGTATAATCTATTAAATTATTGTATCTAGGACTTTAATGACGGTAATTGAAATGTGGGTTCGATCCCCACTACTGGAATAAATTTGTGTGATGAACATAGTGTTTTTTCCAGTGTCTGGGTGTTTATATATTTTTTTTAAACATTGCCGTTAACATTGCGGATAACATTATCCTGTATTGTTGACGTTTTACAAACATAAATTTCATGTGGTCCAACACCCAGATGCGAAACAACTATCTGTGGGTCACACAAATAGTTGTCCCGTGTGGGGATCGAACCCACGACCCCCGACACCGAAGCCAATACCTTGGCAACTGGGCCACGGAGTCATCAAAATATGTATAATATATGTATTTATTTACAAAGAAAAGTATGTTTAAGTATGTTTATCAGTTTTCTAGTACCCATAGTACAAGCTTTGCTTTGTTTGGGACTAGAGAATGATGGGTAAAAATGTGTCCTAAAATATTTATTTAAAAAAATTATATTACATTAGTTTTCCCTAATGCCTGACAGTTTCTCGCTGAGAACTAGATCGCAGTCCACACCCATTAAACTATGGCGGCAGCGTGTCGTAGCTTACATAACGCCGGCCGTGGGAGCTTCTGAGAGCGTCGCCGTTATGCGACGAACGCTACCGATACCGTTCCATTAGCGATTTTATTAGACGATTCGCGTGTACTGCCCCGTAATCGATTTGAACAGTCGCAGTTTGCCCCACTTGTAATTCTATAGCGTCGACGTTACTGCACTGCTACATAGGCGTTACGGCTTAGCCCCAAAGCGTGATTTGAAAAATCCAATGAATACCGCTCACCAATACTAAGTTATTATTTAAGTTAAAACACACATAAACCAAATTATACAGGATAAAATATGTGAGGGTTCTGAATATACACACACCCACTTGTTATTTTTATGAGTTTTATTTTTTTAGGAAGTTATTAAAATGCTTTCAACATGCGTCATCGATTATCGCATGCCTATAGAATTGAAATCGCAAATAAGTTACTAACCTCCAGACTAACATGATAACCATTTTAAGGTACACAAACATCATCCTCGTCATGGCGTGCTACCAAATATTTGGATTTAAACGCTATCGTCTCAGTATTTGGTCATAATAACCATGCCCCTAATGACTCAGCCGAAAACGATGCCTCCCACGCGAAATTTCCCAAATAAAGCCTGGTAAAACATACAGCTTACCGCTAACTGACTTGAACGTTGCTATCACTCTTCGTGGATGGAAAAAAGTGTCAAATAAACAGTTACACAAACAAAATCGGGTCGACGACGAAAGTTATTTTGACTTTATTTAGCAAACGAAATCGTCGCGGTGTCAATAAACCCATGCGAATATCATTAAAATAATAAATCGACCATTTCAGTCGCGTATAACTGCGAGCCATTACAATTAACGATTTACTCCGCGCATATTGAATTTAAACGGTTGCGCATTTTATTTTCTAACAAAAGATATCTTGATCCGATCACGTTAACTATGAAACACGATTTCTAAAAGAAAAAAAAATGTTCGCATAAAATTTAAAAAATAAAATTTATCACTTTTTTGTTTAATTTATGAATCAAACCATATATATTTTATTATGTACTCAGATTTTCGAGTTCTTTTTTATGCCAAAACTTCGGAGGAACTATTATATCATCACAGATAACCTAGATGTGACGGCACGCGGTCATTCACCTCGGCGCGACGTAATTAAAATCCTTCATGGAAAACACGCCCGATGGAATCCGTTCTGACCCGCGCACGACCACGCCATAGCCTTTAATCGTTACTTTATAAATAGGAGCAGCAACACAAGAGATAGACTTTAAATTTCCCATAGTAATTTTTAACTTAAACTTCCACACACACTTTTTTATTTTTTATTTTAAAGACCTTATCACCTTACCGACATCGCTGTTCGCATCGCTTTCGTCTGAGTTGTTAAAATCTAATTTCACCTTTGCAAACAAATATTACTATAGCAAAATGATTCACGGCTCATACTATCACGCAACACAGTACTCCTTAATGTGTATAGTGGTTATGCAAAAGGTGTAGTGCTTTAAACCATGCCACTGTGGTTCAGTTCCATTAATGTTTCCCACTGCATCTATGAATAGCTGACTCTTATTACTAAGAGCCCATTACGTTGTCCTGAATATAAAAACTATGTGGTCTCCGAGTTTCATGTACTATATTTTTTAATTCACATTTTACAAATATTTATCTTATCTTATCCTTTAAACGAGCAATTCTTGTGTATATATAATCGAAATCTCGGAAACGGCTCCAGAGATTTTCATGAAATTTAGTATGTGCGTAGATTCGGGGGCGAAAAATCGATCTAGCTAGGTTTCATTTTTAGAAAATGTCCTTTTATCCCTGTTTTCAGGGAATGAAAAATATAATTCGAATATGACAGTAAATTTCGCCGCAAGAGAAATGTCATAATAGCTCGGTCGGTAATCGGGCGGCCCCAAAACAGACGGCCGTGGTTCGCGTCGCGATCATTTACACATTTATTTTTTTACTTTTTTTTCGATTCCAGATCATTGCTTTCTTTATTTTTAATTTTTTGTCGATTTGTTATTTTGTTATTTCTTTTTCCCTTTTTTTTAAAGTTCTTTCTTTTGTGAAAAACATCAGTTCATATTTTGTTATTATTACGTCGGTAAGATCGAAAAATATTATGCATATTTCATTACTCAGTAATTTGTGTCTAAATACAATTTACAAAATACACGATTTACCAAAAAAAAAACCAAACCGAGCAAAGCTCGGTCCTCCGGGTACTAATCATTGAAAAGAGAATCATAAAGTAAGTTCTTGTATTTACGCGATTACACATTATAAATGAAACTAATTTTACGGATTTATCGCGTTTATTTTTAATTTAAATTCCCGACGTTTCGAACCCTTTACAGCGTTCATGGTCACGGGAAAGACTGAGGTGTTTGACGTCTGATTGTCATAGTTAACCCGGGTTACCGTCAGTTTTTGAATTATTAATTTTGTGTCCAATCCATGCAGAGGAATCTTTTCTTGCAGTAGTGGTTCGTTTGGGCCTAGTTTTAATTTTATTGATGACAGGATCCCAAGCTGATGGTAATACCCAGCCCTCTTCTCTATTGAAATTAGGGTATTTTTTAATTTCAATAGCCTCGCGAACCATCCTTGGGAGGAATCGGTGTTCTTTTGCAAGGATCTGTGGTCTATCAAACCTGATGTAGTGGTTGGGCCGATTTAAGGTGTGCTCACAAACTGCAGACTTGATACAGGTTGATAGACCACAGATCCTTGCAAAAGAACAAAAATTTGATTGTATACCTACATGAATGTTACTTCTTTTCTAAATCATTAATTTAATATTTTATTTTTAATTTATACTCGTAAAATATTTGGTGAAATTAAGTGTTTTATGAAACTGCTTTCTTCACTCACACCTTTAATAATATTAAGCATTTTTACTTTTGTTCTTTTAATTTGCTTTAAAACTCTTCAAAATCATTATTTAGAGATAATCAAGATCCGTACCCGTCATTTGTTCAAACCAGCGTTGCATATCTCTGCAACACGAGTTCTTCATTCCTTCTTGCCCTTAACCCACCGAGGTAGGGTTGGCACTTAATTTGAACCATGTTGTCAAAAAATCCTAGCCAGTACCAAAAATTGAGGAACTGGCATGTATTTTTTTACGATCAATAGCTTCAACCCCGAGTCATCTGCCTCTTTGACCAATTATTGTAATATTTTTTTATCTTCGCTATATCAATTAAATTTTAGCACAGACGCCTTGAACACCATAAAGCGCTACAAGCTAGTGCAATTTTTGTCGACATAATCGATTTTCCGACAAAGCCGAGAAATCGGCACACGTTATTGCCTTGTGCTCGATAGTTAGCAAAGTCGCGTGTCGCATCGACACGCGCGGTCACGAAAGATCAAAACCTCCTGCAACGTGGCCTTCTTAATTGTAATTTTCACTTCATCGGCAAACGGGTCAAATGATCCCATCGACTTTAATATAGCCACTTCAATTTCCCAGACGATCGTCAAATAATTCACCACCCGACGGCATAAAATATTTCAAACTTCGACATACAATTTTATTGCAACCAACTTCATAGTAATTATATTTTGTTAAAAGGAATATTTATGGATTCCTTTGCATATAAATTTAAGGCGTTTAAAGCGTTCACGGTCATAGAATTGTTTGACTCTTTTAGGTACTAATTAGAGTTTATTGAAGTTGAGAAAAAAGTTTGCCATTCTATTTTTGACACCTTAATTTTGTCTGTTCTCCTCAGAATGAGCTTAAAGTATTGGTTTACTTAGATCTAATTTTATAAACTTAGGCAATACATTCATGTTCTCTATTGAAATAAGGAAGGATGTCGATAAAAAATAGTAAATAATTTCTATGGGTATTCGATTGAAGAAAACACTCATTTTAGCTTATACAGTATCCTTAAAACTGACTATTTATTTCCTCTTTATTGATTACCTGATAAATATAAACCGGATGATAAATTGAACAAGTCACCCGATCCGTAGTTAAATAAAACTGTTGCACCTGTTTAAATAAACGGGAAATGGGCGTCCGGTCAACAGTCCATAAATAAGAATTTGAATTTAAAACTGTAATCACACCGGAAATACGTATTAGCAGATAAGTCAAAAGCTTCGAAGTAAAATTGGCACTAAAATGCGTTTTATTACTCTTTAGCGTTTTATTTTGTTGATTATAACACTATTAACATTCTTATATATCGTCATTTACAAAAACTATCGGACATGGTGTTACTAAATTTTTCTAAGAACGCTGAATGTAAAGATAAAAATACCATAATAAAAGTGCTCGATATACATATATATTGATATACACACGAGAATTAATGCCGGAGTATAATGTGCACAGATTCTGTAACGGCCCATTTTAAGGAAGAAAGCTGTCCTATATTAGCATGGACTTGGTCCGACGGTTGGTAGCATGAACAGAGGTCGCACCACGGGGTAATGCCTAGTCTTTGTCCAAAGGCCGGTACGACGCCGACCTATGACCGCGATCGTGCACTCGGGACCGTTCCCCGGCTGTGACCAATCGTTTACCGCTACCATACCATACCAATTGTTGCGTGTGTAATTGCATTCAAGTACCACCGCGGATCACCGCTTTGGGTTAATCGTATGAGCGGCGACGCTCAGTAAGCTTTCGCTGGTACATTTCTATCGTCCATATTTGATATGGCATAACGCTAGAGATTTTATTGCGACCGTCCATATACGTTTGAAATGACTATGAACGATAAACTGATAGATGATGTATATTTCCGAAATATATTTGGGATATTCCCTCTATCGCCGTTATTTTATAAATTCAGATAAATAATCGAATTTAATAATTATACTTTCGATTCGAAACAATTAATTTTCTTCTCACAATTTGAAATTTTAAAATTGATTATTGTGGATACTTTAAGAAGTTGTTCCCGAGCATTTTTAACTAATAATACCGTTATTCACATCACGTCTATACTAATGGTTACAATTTATATTTGAATTTCAACCGCCGCAGATAACAGGTGGAATGTATTCTTTCACTGTTCCATCGTTGCATAGATTTAAGTTCTTCTTTTTCATAGCAGTGAAAGCTCTACGTCATTGAATTTAATGGAAGAATTTTAACCAGATCTTAATTGTGTTCCTGCATTTATCATCGTATCCTCCGTAGTAACACCTTGATATTGTACACTTTCTTTCTGCGCCCGTTGAAATCTTTTCTATGACTCATATAAAAGGGTCGTCGATTTTATTTTAATAATTTTTGCTATTTCGAAATAAAACGGGTCGTTTTAATATAATTTTATTTTAAGTCGTTGGTATGTTTGAAATAAAACCTATGATATAGACATTGTTGAAGCAAACAAAAAAATCAATTACAAATTATTCTGAAGTATCAAGCGAACCAAGCGGGTCTAAATATAGCGCTTTACCTTTATTGCTGTATGCGCACCGGAGCTTATCGCTCACATATACGAATGAAGACAAGTAGTGCCTGCGATGTGCGCAAAAACCTTCATCTATCGACATCCTAACGGTTCTGCTACATAAGCTGGGCATTTTTCCTCTTCGATTTTGATGTGATTCGTGTGACTGATGTCTGGAAAATTCTCATTGCAAAACCAACTTAGATTCTTATCGAGCTAATTACGCACGTAATAATAAAAACGATCCTGATTTAATATGCGTGGGAAGTATTTGTCACGTAAACGATTGTTCTTATTATCGTTTGGTTCGTCGTTATTTTTGCATGCGAGTTCTTATTTTTTAATTTATTGTAAAATATGATTTAATTACTTCTTTCTTTAATTGACATTAACTCGAGGCTTTACAAAAATTGAACCACATAGGATGCTGGACCTAAGATGGGCTTTAATTATCTCATGCCATAGAAGATATTATCCCGCCGCCCTTGGCCGCAGGTACTGCAGCCACCATAAAATATTTATAGACTAGTTTATGAAACAGGACGCTGCAACTAATTAAAAGCTTATAATCCCTGGAATTGCTTATGCTATTTGCCTGTATAAAATATATTCTTATTTTTATTAGGTAGAACGCGCGAATTTTTTAATGTTGATGGAAAACTTACCTCGCAATCGGGTCACAGGTAATTCAGAATATTTATGATACGGCGTCACGCGATATAGTTCAAACAAATTTCAACACCCAGTTCATGAACTTCACTGGTCGTATATCACTGGCCGTGCGCACAGTCCTACCGATGACGCGCGCGCAGTGCTGTCGCGAGCTTAGTGTCGCGGCCACTCTCCACGAGACACTGAACTTGCCGGAGTGCGCCCCAACGGTTATAACATAACACGTCTGACGTAACCTTAACCTTGCAAGAAGAAGAGGAACGAGCAGCCGAAGGACGGAGAGAGAGAGCGATAAGACCGAGAGAAAGGGAGAGATTGCGCCGGGCATCGGATCGCTTCCAGAGCGACGCACTGTCCAAGCGCCGACCATACGCCGGCCGCACGCACGCCACGCCATTTCGACGCTTTTTTCGCGTCCATTCCCCCATGCGCATTCAATCTCACGCATACAGGTCATACCGCTTATATGTTATTGAACGTAGAATTAATGAAAGCCCTAACATCAACATTGTTACCCTTTCGTCATATATAACGAAGGTGCATTTCACTTTCAAGTAGGTCAGCTGCGCCGACGACGTTTCGTCCATCGGCATATTTTCCAACAATGAATCGGTTATGCAGATGACCCCCTGCTTTCTACGGGTCAGAAGGACATGCTAGATTATTCGGTTTATTTTCATAATACTTCTAGGCTGTTGACAGTAGACTGCCTATAGCTTTGCCCGCACCTGTAAGATTTTGCATGTAGTCTTGGTAGTAATTAGCGCATGATTATAAATGTAAACATTACTTAACAAGGTATCTATTTATTAAATACTGACAATTGTTTGCTGATTAAATGTTGAATTCGAGGTAAAACAGGCTTTATTTTATTCATATTTTCACATGACATTGGCTTATATTTTATTATTTTTCAAGCGACAGAAAACACTTCAGTCATAACATCTCATAAAAAAAGTTAAATAACAATTAAAGAAGTAAAATAACAGCCTATATATAGCCCACTGCTGGGCAAACGCGGCCCTACTGCGGATTGGCTGACCTCACATTTTTATTTTTTTTTTGTTATTTCGAAAAAAAATTAGGTTTCCTCACTATGTCTTCTTCACCGCTGGGCTGTAATAAGTCAGCACTTAAAATTAACAATTTCATTGTTGCCGGCACCGAGGATCGAGCTCATCTCATCTAATATTTAAAAATTTTCATGAAATAAAAACATTCAATAATTAATGTAGGCCATCTTTCATGGAGCTTATTTAGTAGAAATAGGCAAAACTGTAAATTCCTTTAAAAACTATGTAATTTAACGAAATTTCCCGCTTCCATGGTACTGGAATGCTTAATCAGAAATTCTTGAAATCTCCTACTGAATTACTGCGAAGGATTCTGTCAATGATCAGAAATAAATATTGGATTGGTAACTTACGAACGTATTAATTTTTATGTAAAATTTTTGACATTTCATAAGATCGCGCAAGCGTCTATGTGAATAAATATATTTTGACTTTGATTTTGATTTTTGATTTTGGAATGAATCATGTTGAAAGTGGTTTTGGGTCCGGAAAAATTATCTGCAGGTCACACAAATACTTGTTCCGTGTGGGAATCGAACCCACGACCCCCGGAGTCGAAGCCAATAGCTTAGCAACTGCGCCATCGAGTCGCTAAACATCTAATATACCAAAGTAAAAATATTACGTAACTGTATCACCATATTTATACGCCTCTGATATCAAACGCCTAGAGTTTTCGCATAACTTACCTAATTTATCTATTTCATAAATAAACTGTAGTGCACTGGTTAGCTTCTGACGGCGGTACAAACATATTGTCCTAGATATTGAAGCCACATGCAATATATAGTGCAAGACTACGAAATGGAATTCTATCCTATCACTACTAATTTGTAAACTTTATCGTTGCTTGTGCTTGTATTAACACGCTATAAAGTCTAATAAATCCTAATAAATTATAATGGCGTTAGAAATTCTGTAACAATATTTAATATTAAATGCAATACAGAGTTACTTAACACGTTTTATTAGTCATATGCAGAATTAGTTACAATTTAAACATTATAAAATTCTTTAACCAATTTTAATTTTTTTTATATATATAAGAGTGGTTTATTAGAATCGGCGGTTCACCCGATGTTAAGTGAATACCGCCGCTCATTGATATTTGCAACACTCGTAAGGTTGCAGATGCGCTGCCACCTTTTTAATAAAGTGGGCCCCGGCCACCTCACTCACCAGACAAACGCAGAAGTATGACACTTCAACTTCAGTTGTTATTTTTATCCATCTTAATACTGCACCCTGACACTTATTAACTACTAATGTATTACGCTGTCTACCCTCTTGGATGAAACTACTTGTTATAAAATCAAGGATGCTTAATACAAAATACAACTATAGTCTAGAAAAACTGCTGCTCTTCACTTCATGTGGTTGTTCATCTCGTCCAAATAAATTCGTCTTAACTTATGTAAAAGTAAAGTAAAGTAACAGTCTATACATCTCCCACTGCTGGGCAAAGGCCTCCTCTATACAGAGGGTATCAGGACATAGTCTTTTTTTATGCGAAAAGTTGCCAAACGAGCAGACGGGTCACCTGATGTTAAGTGAATACCGCCGCCTATGGACATCTGCTACACCCGAGAGTTACAGATGCGTTGACAATCTTTTGAAAATTGGGCTCCGGCTACCTCACTCACCATACGAAACGCGAAATTATTTGTCATACTTCCACTTTACGCTGGTCTTCTGTGAGGTCGTGATACTTACTCGCACGAGCCCGCCCATTCGTGCAACAGCCGAGGCTGCTGCGTGGCCCACCACGCGGCCCCACTGCGGATTGGCGGACTTCACATATCTTCGAAATATTTTTATTGTTATTTTTTCAAAAATATGCAGGATTCCTCACGATATTTTCCTTCACCGCAGAGCACGTGATAAGTCAGCACTTAAAATTAAAAACTTCATTGGTGCCGGCACCGGGGAACGAAATCAGGTTGCTCGAGTATATTGAATTAAAGGCGGGCGCCCGGACACTGAGCTATCACGGCTCTGAACTTTGTAACAAAAAAAATTGGTCACGATCGCTAAGACATCGATATGATTCAAAAACTTAATGTATCTATATATCGTAAACATAAACATATTTCCGCGCTTTAACAACTTATCAACATTTGGCTTTTCTTTCCTTTGTGTTATTATATACACGCGATAAGGAATTAACATTGTATCTTGTATCTTGTATTAACTGATGTTTTTGCTTTCAGTCCCGAGACTATTAAAGCTTCATCTGACGCAGAACCGGTGGGCTAGCCAGAACCCACGGGTTTGGGCCCTCCGCTGTGGGTAGGGCCACGCATGTGCTCATGCGTGCGTTTAACTATGGTACGTCATCTAAGGGCCATCGAGGTCGTGGTTCGGACCGAAACCCCGATGGCCGTCGACTGTGCAATTAGCTAATCGGTGGCTGGGGGCGGTGAGAACCGCCCCGGAACGCGGGTGTACCTTGTGTACGCGTTGTGTTGGTCTCGCCGTGCTCGGAGGCGAGGGCGAACTAGTGTGTTTGTTGTTGCACTAACTGTGGGTGTAGTGTGGGTGTCCGGCGGGACCCCCGGCAGTAGGTCCGGCGTGTCTAAGTCCCCTTCCTCGACCTCGACCGGGTCGATTAGGACGTGTTCGATTAGGACGTTATTACGAATGTACGTTAGGACGAATTAACATTAATTCCTTATCGCGTGTATTTCTAACTTCCTCAATTATCCCTTGAATCCTAAGAGAAAATTTAACTGGACAAACCGAGCTTGTGTATTGCGGTTTAAAAGGCGGCCATACATTTTAATTCTAATTGTGGTGTGCTAACAATGACGGGAACGAGACGGAGAAAAACGGTCAAGTAAAAATAGCCTACCTTTTGAGCTTAATGATTGGAGTGTACAAACAAACATATCATCTTGATATGTTTGTTTGTTACGTTAAATTTGTTGTTTTTTTAATTCTGAAATATATGTTTTTATTAATATTCTCAAATGATAAGGTCTCGTCTCACACATATTATTAGAGATATACGTGTATTAATTTTATCAAAGAATTCAACGTTTTCATGTATATATTAAAAAATATCACTGTCATTATCGCAAAATAAAAAAAATTGTGACCATGAAGACTGCATCGCGTTGAAACGTCGTAAATTAAATCTAATATAAACGCGATAAGTCCCTAAAAATAAATTTCATTTAATATTTTTTAGTGTTCAGAGTTACATTCAATATTAATAGAAAGGTTTCACGTCATTTGCATATTAAGTCATAATTTCTGTAAAGCAACATTAAATCATTTTACCTTCTTTTGAATTTTATAAAAAATATGTAGGTAAAATAATACTAAACATTCATACAATAACGGCCTTCACCCGTTATAAAGCTTCCCTGTAACGACACTATCCTTCTTTTAATTGCAAACATTCCATACTATCACTTTGAAATGTAAAAAAAATTGTGACAGATCTTGCTGATAGCCGGTTTGAAGATTGACTCCGATAACATATTGGTATGCAAGATGTAACGCAAAAAGTTGTTTAAACGGCTAAACTAAAATAGCTGCAATAGTTATCAGTGTATTGACACTTAAATTTTGATAGCAAAAACTGAATTTTGAGGCCCAGTTTAGCGATCATTGACAAACATGGGTAATGAAATATTAACATTCATATTTCACATTAGGTGAACTTCCCTTTTCTTCTAAAGTTTCCCGTGTGGCTCATATCTTTCATAGAATTTCGTCTTTATATAAAATAATCTGTTCAGTCTAAAAAAAATAATTAAATTTTCTCTGGTAGATTTATATTCGTACATATACATGTCCATGTTACAACAATATTGTCATTGAACCCATTACTAAATAATTAAGACCAAATGAAAATGTAAAAACCAATGTACCAATTAAAAATATTTATAATTTAATACGGAAAAAAGCAAAATTTAACCTCAAAATTATATTAAAATTATTGTTTGTGACCCACAAATTTTCTCTAAATGATGCGTTGAGTTGTTTGGAGCTATTCGAGACAAATTTTCAGACAGACTGATGACAAAAATCTTAAAAATATGGTGTACAAAAATCTTATATATGATAGTTTGCCCTTATATTTTTAGCTTATTTTTAAATAACGCACACTTTAACTTTATTACTATATATAACTTTTATTCATCAAAAGGTTGGCAAAATATTTTTAATGTAAACTACGGGATGTATTCACTCAGTCTGTTCCGTAACCATGAACGCTGAAAAGGGTTCGAAACGTCGACAATTAAAAATCAAAATTAAAATGCGATAGAATCCGTAAACTACTTTCATTTAATATGTATAATATTCGCGTAAAATC